CAGAGAGAGAGAGAGAGTGAGAGAGATAACATTGAAATGTAAACAATTTTGAGATGTTTATCTGAAAATATATATCTCCTAAATAACATTATACTTCTTTTTTTTTTTTTTTATTTTGCTAATTAAAACAAGAAAAACATAAAAAAAAAAAAAATTTCCATTCTATCGTATAAACATTAAACAACAAATATTTTTCATTTTTTTTTCTTTTTTTTTTTTTAAAAATGGCTTTAAAAATAGGAAAAAAATATATAAAATGAAAATATGTTATTGTTGAATGCAAGAAAATAAATAAAAGAAAATGAAAAGTAAACAAAATTGAAAAACATAAACAATTAATTTATTTATTTCTCATTAATAATTATTATTAGCACAAATATTTTTATTTATTTTTTTTTTTTTCATATAATTTAGTTATTAACGAATGTTTAATTCATCTTTAATTTAAATTTTTAAATCCAAAAAAAAAAAAAAAAAAAAAAAAAAAACAAAAAACTCTCAAAATAAGAAAAATATTATGAATGTATGCAAAATGCATTTTAGTATTTCAACAAGTTACATTCATTTTAATTAAATTATTAATTTGAATGATTGCTGATTAATTAAATTAAAATTAGTTAATTATGATTAATTTTAATTAATTATGGATTAATTAGATAATTCTATATTATGTTGCAAATGAAAATGCAACATAATAAAAGTGAATAATTGATGATTTGTCACAAATTTTTTGTGTAGACATAATGGCGACGTTATTTGCAAAAGAAGAATGATTATTGATTAATTAAATTAAAATTAATTAATTATGATTAATTTAAATTAATTATGGATTAATTAAATAATTTAAAATTTTGTATCACTTTTTTTTTTATTCCTAATTTAAAATTTTTGTATCATTTTAGTAACATTTTAGTAATCATTTAGTAACTAAAATTTTTTGTATTCCTAATTTAAAAATTTTGTATCATTTTAGTAACTTTTTGAAAAATTTTTTCTTTTTCTTCATTCAATTATTTTCATCCTAAATATTTTACACAAATACTAAATGTGACTAAATTTTTTTCAAATTAATACTTGAATAATTTTGATAAAAAAAAATTTTTTTTTAATTTTTCAAATTTTTAAAAATTTTGAAAATTCTTAAATTTATGAAATTTTTTTTTTTGCCTGCCTTCATTGTGCTAAGTATTATTTGCATTTGCTTAAATGTGCTTATAAAAGCTAAAATTGAACAAATATTTTGCAAAAAAAAAGAAAAAAAAAATGATAAGAAATGAAGATGAGAAAGTGATAACAAAATGATAAATCAGAGTTGTTTGTTCAAATTTGTGTTTTATTATAATTTGTTAGTTTAATGAGTAAGAAAACATTGTTTATATCAAAAAAGCAATTGGATATATTTTTTTTTTTGCAAAAAGTTTTAAGCATTGCATAGTTTATAAAATTTAAAATATTTTAAAATCAATTTTTCATTTTTAAATGAAATTATAACTTATGCGATACAATTTTAATCATGAAAAGAACATCTTTTTAAAAAAAGAAATGCTGTTTTTTAAATTTAATTATTAGTAAAAATTAATTGGTGGAATTTTCTTTTTTTTTTTTTTTTTTTTTTATGAAAATGATAAAATAAAAAAAATTTTTCGGTAAACTTCTAATGACTAATGGAATTATGAGTAAACTTGAAAAGAAGGGAGAGAGAGAGAGAGAGAGAAAAAAAAAAGAATCTCAGGTAAATTAATTTTGTTACTACCTTAGCTTAATCTACTAAGACATCAAAGTAAGTAAGATTCTGTAGTGACAATTTTTTTTTTTTTTCGAGACTGATAAACAAAATCATTCTAATATCATTGACTATTTTTAGGACATGTGACACCGGTGTGTTATGATGTGGTGACACATTAAAATATCACATTCTAACCAAAAAAAAAAAAACTATTTTTAATGAATCATCTATTTACTTTTTACATTAAATGAAAATCGAACAACCATTGTCACCAATATGTCACCAACAAACAAATTAATTAATTATAATCGTACCAATCAGACAAATCGATGATAAATTATACTAAAATTTCACTAAATTATACTAATCTGATGTGTATGTGTTAATAAAATTTCACACTAATTAACATCATTTTAAGAAAAATAAAAAAAAAAAATTTACAATTCACATTTCTTTTTAAATTATATTTTTATTTTAAAGTGAGCAAGTTTTTTTTTTTTTTTGTTCAAATTAAAATTAGTAAAAATTATTTTTGAATATTTGCTTAGTGTTAATTTAATTAAAATTTAAAGCAAATATACAAATGTGAGGTAGAAATGACGCAAAAAAAAAATTTTTTTTAACTATTTAACATTTCCAACAATTTCAATTTTAATCAATTTGCAATAAAGTTCTCAATGAACCACGATCAAATTATGCTTCTAAAAAATCACTTGAATTAATACGTCATATCACGTAATTAACTACTTAATTACTGAAATCTCACGAAATTAACATATCACGTAATCAACCACTGAAATCTCACGTAATTAACACACCACGTAATCAACCACTAAAATCTCACGTAATTAACACACCACGTAATCAACCACTAAAATCTCACGTAATTAACACACCACGTAATCAACCACTGAAATCTCACGAAATTAACATATCACGTAATCAACCACTGAAATCTCACGTAATTAACACACCACGTAATCAACCATTGAAATCCCACGTAATTAACATATTACGTAATTAACTACTGAAATCTCATGTGAATTAACATATCACGTAATTAACCACTGAAATCTCAGGTAATTAACATATCACGTAATTAACTACTAAAATATCACGTAATTAACTTCTTAACTACTGAAATCACACGAAATCTCGCGTAATTAGCATATCACGTAATTAACTACTGAAATCTCACGTGATTAACATATCACGTAATTAACTACTGAAATCTCACGTAATTAACATATCACGTAATTAACTTCTTAACTACTGAAATCACACGAAATCTCACGTAATTAACTGCTGAAATCTCACGTAATTGAAATATCAAAGGGAATGTTCCGTTCTGATAAAAAACAATGATAAGAATGCTTTAATATCAAAATCACAAAGCAAAAATCAACCTTCCCAGTAAAATTTAGCAGCAGATCAATTGCATAATATTCCTATTCATTGATTTGGTTTTTTTTTTTTGATTTATTTCAAAAAAAAATTTTTTTTTTTTAAAAACTGAAAAGTCTCTCAGAAAGAAATATAATATTGTCAATTTTATATTGGTTATCAATATCACCAATAATAATAGTTCGACTAGCTAGTAAAGCCATATCAAAAAATTTGAAATATTGAAGAATCTCATTTACTATTTTAGTAGATTTATTTCTTCGCATAAGTTAAATATTTTTTTAAATTCTATTAGGAAAAATTTTATATTTGCATAAATATATCATCTTCAATCAATATCGATTATTGAATGACACATATTTTAAGTTTTTTTTCTAAATAAAAATTAATAAATAAAAGACGGGAAGTTTTTTTTTTTTTTTTTTTTTGAAATTTTCTAAAATTTTGAAGTTAAAGTAAAAGAGAAGAAACTGTAGAACGAGAATTTGTCATTTCTTTTTTTAAAGAGTTCCTTTTATGTTGTCTAACAAATGTTTAGATATTTGATGTCATTTTTTTACAATCCACTAACATATATGCTCAACAATTGGTGACAGAAACAGTAACAAAGAAAACCAAAAGAAAAGCTATAATCAATTTTATAATAATTAATTGTAAATGCACAAGCAATTGTGTTTTTTTTTTTTTGTTTTTTTTTGTTTTTTTTTTTCAGAAATATTTCAAAAAAATTTTTGTGAAAACCAAAAGAAAAGCTATAATCAATTTTATAATAATTAATTGTAAATGCACAAGCAATTGTGTTTGTTTTTTTTGTTTTTTTTTTTCAGAAATATTTCAAAAAAATTTTTGTGATTGTTAATGATAAACATTTCATCATATCAAACCATATGTAATAATAATAATAATACTTTTCAAATAAAACAATGCAATAAGCTCATTTTGTTAAAAACGATGCAGTAACAATTTTAAAACTAACTTCATCTTTCATTTTTCAAACAATTCATAAACTTTATATATACACAGAGAAAAGCGAAAAAAAAAAAAAAAAAAAAAGTATCCGTTCAATTTTAAGCCAAATATAGTCTTATAAAAGGCTTTTTTTTTTTTTTTTTTTTTTTTTTCGAAGTAAGAAAGACAAATGTGACAATGATTTAAAGATGGCAACCTGCTTGCTTACCCGCTAAATTTTTATAGCTTGAGGTAGTAAAATATTTTTGTTGTGGTAATAATAATCATCAAATTAATAAACAAACAGTAAAGTAGCACAAAATAGAAAAGTAACAGGAAAAAATTTAAAAATTTTTCGAAACAAATCATCATCGTTCACCGAATAATCGAACAAATAACACATGTCAAGCAAGGAATCATAAAAAAAAGTGAAAGAGGAAAGACACACAAACCCCATTATTTGAAGTAATAGAAGATTTGAAGCAATTTCGCTCAGAAATTATACTAAAAATTAAAACTATTCATTTTTGTTATTATTAAATGGTCACAAAAAAAAAAAAAAAATCACAATTTTAGCACAAATCTATTGCTATAAAATAAAACACAAGAAATATGTAGAAAGTAATAATTACATTTTATCCGAAAAACTTTTCACTTCCTATAATGTAATGAGCAAAAAAAAGAAATGGAATGAATGAATAGCTCATCTTTTATTACAAGAAATTAATTCTCAAGAATCAATGAATGATTTACATAAATTATACAATGTTTTCTCAAGACATATTCTTTGTCACAGAACGTAAAGATTCAAAAATTGAATAGCAGTAGTTGTTAATAGTAAAGTTTAACTCTACAATTCAAAAAATTTAATTCCTAAAGAACTATTTAATAAAATCAATTTATTATTACTAAACATGATGCACTATCTGAATGCACTCATAGCTTTGATGTCAAAACTATTTTCCTTATTATCATCATCGCTTCCACTATCGTCAATAGCATTGTCAGAAAGACGTGGCCAATACCGCATACAGTTCAAAGCACCACAACTAAAATCGATTCAGATTTTAACATAAGATTAATTTTTGGAGAAATAAATATATTGAAAGCAAGTAAGATCACTCACGAGCATTTCATACTCCCCTCTTTTGATGTTAATATCGTTTTTGGTTTATATTTCCCAACAAAATAGTTCAATGTTAGCTCTTGTCCTGTAACTATGAACATTAAAAAATAAGTCTCATCAGAAAAAAATTATATTTATGCAAATTTTGCGCTGAATTGTAAAAATTCATAATAATAATAAGATTTATTTCAGCAGATAAGTAAAAGCTCCAACAATATCTTCGAAAAAGAGATACCTCGAGAAATTTGACACTTGCTAAAAAGTCCAATTCGATGGAATTGATCGAGGCGCTCAACATGAACAGGAATAGCAACCAAATTTGGATCACAGGAATGATTAATAAAAGCAGCTTCATTTCCGTAATATTTTGCATCAATCAGATATTTTATTTCATTGTAACCATTCAGCTCAAACTGATACATGCTATCATGACGAGAATCACCTTCAGCAACGGTCAGCACCTCAAAAACTTCAATGTTTTGAACATGTATTAAGAAAAAATTTTGAATAATGCAAAAACAAAATCTTATACTTACTTCTCCAATATATTCAGTAACAAATACATTTGGTGGTATATCTTCCAAAGCAAAAATACCCCAACCACGAGTTTCCGTACGAACTATTGCCACTATATAACGACGTCCATCCTATAAAACGATCATTATTACCTACAACAAGTATAACATTTTTTACTTCATAATTAATTGAAAAAATAAATTATTTTGATTTATTTTTGTTGGACAATCATCGAAATATTGGCAAGCGTAACATTCAACAATAAGGTGCTCACTCAAGAAGATTGAACGAATACGCCGATATTAATAAAATTATAATTTTCCGATCTGTGGTAATTATTAGTCATTAATTACCTAATATTTTAAAACACAGCAAAAGTGTCAATTGGGAACTTTGGCAAATAAAAATTTCTACTTATAATGAATTAATCCATATTACCACTGAGCAACACTTTCCTCCACTACCATATTTTTTCGTCTCACAAGTGCGCCTCTCACGAATACAATTCATCGAAGTCATGCATGCTTTTGCTTCAGCTGACCACTTATTTGCCGTGATATACTACAACAACTTTGAGAAAAAGACCGAAGAAGAAATAGAATAAGTATTTATTAAAATGTTATGACTCAAATGGTTTCACGAACTTATGTCAAAGTAGTCAACCACCTTCGTAGAAATTATAGTGAACAAAAATATCATCAAGTATTGTGTTAATTATATATATAGTAGAGGAATTTAGAGAAAATATGATAAAAAAAAAAAAGAACAACTTCAAAATCAGAAATAAAAAAAGAAATATCCTTATGGCAAAAAGAAAGATAATAATGGGAATTATATCATATGAAGTTTAATTATGATTTAATACGAACCTTGAAATCACGCCTGCGCCTCGTATAATCGACATCGTTATAGATATATAGAATTTGTTGTCCGTTCTGTCGTAAGACAGTATTAATTTCATTTTCCCAACGCATAAGACTGTGTAACTGTGATATTTTTTTCGGTTGCGACCATTGTTGTTTGTGACGTACTACAACTGAAAGTGCTCTTTCCCGATCATGAAATTCTTTTATCTGAAAACGTCAAACGGAATTTATACTGATCAAGTAATTGTAGTATCTGAACAATTAATCATACCTCAGTTTTTAAATTCATTAGTTCTTTCCTTTAAATTGTTAATTTCAAACATTTAACCACTACATACCGTTTCAGACATATTCCCAAACGTACATCGAGTTTGCCACGAACTTCGCTTATAAGGCCATCCAACCCATTTGATATAATAAAGCCATCTATTCTGAATAACTCAAAATCATATTTGTAATAACAGTAAAACATATAGATAATGAAGGATATGATTATGGCAAAAAATTTAAATGAATAAAGTAACTGCAAATAAAATAGCTATAACAAATAAAAATTTTAGAAAATACCTCCGATTTTTTTCTAGCAAGGATACGTTCTACTTCATACATTCCATTTTCATCCCTACCAACATCTATCATTGGTTCTTGCTCATCATCAGAACTTTCATAATTTTCATCTTCTACTATTTGAAGCGATGTTGATAACGACGATCGCTTTTGCAATGTTAGTCCAGAATTCTGAATCATGTAGAAATAGGATTGCAACATTAATGTAGCATAGCTGACCTATTGTATGAAATTGGAAATCTGAGAGCCGAAAGATAAGTATGTCAAAAGAAACGAACCAGATTATGAGAATCCAATCTATCGCTAGAATTCACACTCGAAGAATCTCTTTCAAATATGTCCAGTGATGATGAATATTTTTGCTTGTGCTTCCAAGAAATAAAATGATGTGACGATGCTTCTCGCTTTTCATAAGATTGCAAGGATAACTTTTTCTGTCGCATTTTCGATACTGTTTTTGTGGATTCCATAAGCACTTCTTTTTTCTGTATAATGCGCAAAAGTGACAGTTCTTTCCTCCGTACCATTTCAGAAATTGTTTCGCTATAATCATTCTTATCAATAATAAATCCATATTTTTTTTTTTTTTTGATACAAATCCGATCCACTAATCATTACTGATTTCAAATAGTGCTTGTTTGCTCGATTAATTTGAATTTTCGCATACTCTTTTGATTAGTCTGTATTCCATAATATATCCTTCAAAACAATAAAATTCTTGATTTCGAACCTTCTTTTAAAATATTCAGTAATATCATCTTTCTGAACCAGCGATTTTGGCCGTGGATGAATTTCAAACCATTTACGCCTCTGATTTGTAGCAGCTGATTTACTAACTGCTAATTCATTTATGAATGTTATCTGTTGTGAATAATGAGGAAAACAATATGCACTGCTTCGTAGTATTTTTGATTCTTGACGAGCTCTCTGTAAGAATTTTGCATCACTTTTTTTTTTGATACAATATTGATAGATGATAAGCTTAATTTACATTTCAGTTCTGATAGATCTATATAGGTCATTCACTCATTTTGCAAACATAAATGAATGAAATTAAAGTGAAAAATTAAATTCCACCATAAATCAAAAAAAAAAAAAACTCACAAATAAAAATTGACTAAATTACTTTCATAAATTGAGAAACTAAGTAAGGTAATATTACTTTCATAAATTGAGAAACTAAGTAAGGTAATGAATAGATTAAATTTAGACTAATTAAAAAAAAAAAAATTTTAACTAATTACCACTTCTTTGATTTTTTTCTGGGAAGCAATTGCTCTATTAGAAGAATACTTCAAATTTTCAGATATGATCTTGTTTTCCATTGTTTTTTTTTTTTTTTTTTTCTCGCTAAAAATCAAATAGTGTTTCTGTAAATATCACATGAAATCAGAAATGAATTAAACATCAATAATGAGAAACGAATAAATAAATGAATTACCAAATATGAATATTACGAATGAAATAGCAATAGCAAATAGTAAGTAAATAATGATGAATGTATGAGGAAAACATTGCAATTCAATCAGCTTTCAAAAAAAAAAAAAAAAAAAAGTTTTTTTTTTTTAAAAAAAAAAAAAACTTTTGTATAAGTTTTTAATCCTTTAATTAACGACTAATTTATAACATCAACTTATTTCAATGTTTTTTTTTTTTTTTTTTTTAAATTCCATATGCTTAGGTTTAAAAATCGAATAAACGTCAATGCATAATTTCAAACAATTTTTTAGTTATTTTTATAATTTTCAAATCAATTTATTCACATTCCTTTCTTATATATGAATGAATTATTTTGATCACCTTATGCAAATAAAGCATTAAATTTGGATTTTGGAAGTAAAAAATGGAATATAAAAGAGAGTATTTCTAACTACTTTAACAAAACAAATATATATAAAATATATATTAGTCAATATAAATATATATTAGACTTAATCAATATAAATATATATTAGTAGAGTAAGAAATAATTCCAATAGAATATTGCTAATATTTTATCATTAATAAAGAAAACTGCTATATATGTGCTGCTAATATTAATTTGAAATAGTAAATTGATAATTCATACAATGCTTCAATCTCAAAGAATATCATCAACACTGATCTGAAGTAATTAAACTAATATTTACTAATAGATAAAACTTTAAAACAAACTGAACATTTAAACATATTAGTCGTTAGCGTTATGCTTCCTAATAATGCATTCATTGTAAAAAGAAAAAAAAAAAAATTAAACGCAAAAAAAATTTGTTTACGTTTTGTTTACTTTTTTTTTTTTTTTTTTGCTATATTTTAAGATATTATGAAAATAGAAGTGGCAGTAGTACTGCCATGGTGTGTAAATAAAAGTAGTAGAAAGATTAGACAGACATTTTTTAAATGATTCAATGATAGAATGATTAGAGATTGATAGTGTTCATTGTAGCAATTACTTACCTAAGAAAGTGATAAGTTAAATACATACGTATTGCGTACGTATTTTTTCTATCTGACTTTTCAATCACGTAAAATAAAAATATAGCAAATACGATTACAACAGGATGGTATAGTAAGTGTCTATCTGACTTTTCAATCACGTAAAATAAAAATATAGCAAATACGATTACAACAGGATGGTATAGTAAGTGTCTATCTGACTTTTCAATCACGTAAAATAAAAATATAGCAAATACGATTACAACAGGATGGTATAGTAAGTGTCTATCTGACTTTTCAATCACGTAAAATAAAAATATAGAAAATACGGAGGGTATAGTAAGTGTCTATCTGACTTTTCAATCACGTAAAATAAAAATATAGAAAATACGGAGGGTATAGTAAGTGTCTATCTGACTTTTCAATCACGTAAAATAAAAATATAGAAAATACGGAGGGTATAGTAAGTGTCTATCTGACTTTTCAATCACGTAAAATAAAAATATAGAAAATACGGAGGGTATAGTAAGTGTCTATCTGACTTTTCAATCACGTAAAATAAAAATATAGAAAATACGGAGGGTATAGTAAGTGTCTATCTGACTTTTCAATCACGTAAAATAAAAATATAGAAAATACGGAGGGTATAGTAAGTGTCTATCTGACTTTTCAATCACGTAAAATAAAAATATAGCAAATACGATTACAACAGGAGGGTATAGTAAGTGTTGTGTAGTATTTTAGAGATGTATGAGTGATGAGAAAAGAAAAGGAAAAGAGAGATAGAGGATAGTAGCTAATATTGTCAGTTTTCCCATACGTTACCTTAATTGATTGCATATGGTGACTAGCAAGTTTACCTTAAAAAATTTTATTAGATTTCAGGTCAGCATTGGACAATTGACTATTTCTGACTTTTTAATAATCAAATAATACCAATCTATAAAAGCGTTATAAAATCAAAAAAAAATGGATAGATCATTTGCCCTTCAATTTTTTTTCTCACTTACGTCACCTTCAAATATAAAACTCCCACGTACGTCATAACCGCCTAAGGCTATACAAATACAAAGAAATACCAAAACGCCCGCCTGAATCGCTTTGAAAATTAGTATCCCACGCCTAATTACTATTTCTAATTATTTTTTCATATTTATTCTCTTTGCAGTCTAATAATTTTGCTAATTGACGTAAATAAACAAAATATCAACATAAAAATTTTTTTTTGGAACTAATAAATTGTAAATATAATTTGAGTAAATAATTAGAAATAACAAATATTTATTGTTTTATTTGAAATAATACATTTATCATTTCTAATACTTCGACATACCACTGAGATATCTCAGGAGAAGTTTCAGGGAAATTTTTCTTTTAATTGAGAAATTTCTAGTTGTTTTTTTTTTTTCTAAATTTCTAAATTTCTAATTGCTAAATTTCTAAAAAAAAAAAAAATTGAAATTTCTAAATTTCTAATTGAGAAAAAACTTCAACTACAAAATAAAATTTTGCAATAAAAAAAATTTCAAAAAATGATTTTAACAATTTTTGTCGCTGAAAGCAAAAAATTTGTCATTGAAAAATTTGAATCGCTTTGAATTAGTTTTAATTTAATAATTTAATTTATTATTTTGCAAGTGGTTGTTGATTACAGGAAAATTTGCTAGATGTAGATGTAAATAAATAAGATAACAGGAGAATATAATAATAATTCCTTTATTAATAGAAGTAATAATTTTGATTGAGAATATTTGAAATTGAACTTTGTTGGTTCTTGGTAAACAAACAAACAAATAAACAAATAAACAAACAAACAAACACAAAGGGTGACTTTCTCATATGACAATCAATATGCATAAATAAAGTATTTACAATTTACAACTATGAAAGGTTGACCCCGCCGAAACAGTAATCAATCGGTCTTACAAAAGAGCTGTTGACCTGATTTACAAGCAAATCTATCTACTTAGGTTGACAGTTGACAAATCGTAAAGGACATTTGGTTAAGCAAAATTTATTAAACTCATAAAGATTGAAGGATAAACTTACACAATTAGCGATGATACAGAACAATGAGATCAACTAAATGAGGAGAAGCTGTTATTGTAAACAATAAACAAGTTTAAACAACAATAAAAATGTCTAAAGTATAAGTATTATTTGCAAAAAAAATTTCATAGAATATATTTGTTAAATATTTTTTAAAGTTTTACGATATTAAAATCAACGACAAATCTAACTTACAGCGTTTTGTATAATTGTGACACATGCATTCTGCGTGATTCCTGCACTTGCATTCTGCATGATTTCTGCACTTGCATTTTGCATGATTTCTGCATTTGCATTCACATTTCTTACTGATATTCACAAGTCTTATAAAATATTTTTAAAGTTTTACGATATTAAAATCAACGACAAATCTAACTTACAGCGTTTTGTATAATTGTGACACATGCATTCTGCGTGATTCCTGCACTCGCATTCTGCATGATTTCTGCACTTGCATTTTGCATGATTTCTGCATTTGCATTCACATTTCTTACTGATATTCACAAGTCTTATAAAATATTTTTAAAGTTTTACGATATCAAAATCAACGACAAATCTAACTTACATCATTTTGTATAATTGTGACACATGCATTCTGCGTGATTCCTGCACTTGCATTCTGCATGATTTCTGCACTTGCATTCCATTACTTTTACACAATTATTATCTTTGTCAGACAAACGTGTAGGAATTTTTACGAGGAAAAAAATCTTCTTTTTTTTTTTACAAAATTATTACAACTGAATCATGCATGCAATTTTGCATGCATATCAGTGAATGACATGCACAATTCATCCTGCATTCACATAAATAGCAATTAGCAAGGAAAAAAAAAAGAAAATTGAAAATAACGAATTTACTTTAATTTCTAATTTTTTCAAATTTCGAATTTACTTTATAAAATGAAACTTTTTTTTTTTTTTTTTAATTTTTGTAGCACTTTTTTGACAATAATTTTAAAAAATGCAAAGAAAAAAAAAATTTATAATCACAATTTATTGTTTTTATTCAAAAACATTTAAAAAATTATATTTTCAGTTCAAAAAGTTTATTTAATTCAATATTTAATAGGTATGCTAGAAAGATTATTAAAACTAATTTGTGACAAATAAAGTGGCTAAAAGTGATAAGTAAAATTTTATAGTTAAATTTTATAAATTTCGATTTTGTGTTAATTTATTTTTATATGAATGACATGAAATTGTTAAGTTCAATTTCTCAAATCATTTTTTTTTTTTTTTTACATTTATGACTTTAATTTTTTTTTTAACTAAATTAATGAAATGTTTTTTATTTAAAATATGCATAATTTCAGGTCATTGAATTTTACTTAGCATTTTGTTGACATTACAAAATTGATGCAAGCAGGAATGGATGTGACATTTTCAAAAGTTCGTTCTGTTTAAAATCTTTTTTTGCCACTTTTTAGTTCTGTGTTTTAAAATTTATTTAAAATCTTTTTTTGCCACTTATCTATTTTATCTGTCATAAAATTATAATTACATATGCATTTTGGAGGAAAATATTGAATGATTTTATGCCAATTAGACTAATTAATTAGTCTAATTAATTACTAATTTACTAATTAAGTCTAATTAATTAGACTAATTAATTAAAAAAAGTATTTTTTAGTAATTAATTGTTAATTAATTAAAGAAAGTAATTAATTACTAGTAATTAGTTACGTCAATTTTGCACTTTTCGATGATAATTCAACTTTCAAAATTACGTCACAAAATTATGTTACGGAAATCACACGTGTAATTTTTGATTGTACGGAAGATAAAAATGCATTTATCTTCATCGATTTGCTTTCCATTTCAAGAAAAAAAAAAAAAGGGAAACGATTACTGTAACTTGACAACACAAGCCATGGGTACGGGTAAATATGGGTAGAGGCAAATGGGTAGGGCAATGAGCGGAAGTTTATTGATGTGTTGAAGCAGTGTGTGCCAGGTGGTTGTTTTGTTTATCATTGCTGAATTAATTTTTTTTAATTCCTCGTTTAAATTAATCATTGTTACGATACATTTACTTTCCTATTTTAGTTAACCTGTTTTTTTTTTTTTTTTTTTTTAAGTTTATTAAATTTTTCAAAAAAGGTGTTATTACGTAAAATACTTGTGTTACGTGATACGTGATATAATTATAAGGTTAAGGAATAAAAAGAGTAAAATTTAGTTTTATATCCATGTAGAGTAGCAATTTATATTATATTTAAATATAATCAATTTATAATTATTTTTTTCAATTTGAGACAATTTGTGAAAATGCCATTGAATTTTGTCACCTGAAAAAATGACATTGAATTTTGTCACCTGAAAAAATGACATTGAATTTTGTCACCTTTTTTAAAAGCTAATTTTCTGGTTAAATAATTTACACCCCTATATAGAACCGTTTTAAATAGATAGTTAAAAAGAGAGAGAGAGAGAGGGAGAGAGAGAGAGAGAGAGAAGAAGATCAAAAATGGAGTAAATAATAAATAAATTTTCTACGAGCAAAAAAAAAAATTTATTAGCTAACGACTGATCATATTCTGATCTAATCAATAAGTAATTGTAAACAATATTTTTTCAAATGTTTACAATGATATTTTCAATTTCCCTAAAAAAAAATCCATTTCAAATTGCTTATAACCTTTGAACTTTGAATTGCAGTAAATTTTATCGTTCATTTCAAATTTTTTTTTTTTTAGGTATAAGAGTTGACAATTAATTAATTTGCTATGTGACATTAGTTGACAATGATATTAAAAAAAAAAAAAATTTAAAATACAATATCAAAATTAGAGTTTTTTTTTTAAATTTAAATTTAACCAACTTGGTGACAACAAAAGATGAATGAATTTTCAAAATTTAATGTTTAACTATGATAGTTCTGAATTTCTTTCCTTGAAGCATTGATTTGAAAAAAAAAAAAGTTGAAATTTTAGGATTTTTTTTTTGAAAGCAATTTGATTTGATCGATTATATCATTGCATTTAATTTGAAGAAAGATATAAGTTTATAATTAATTGATCTTTTTATAATTTTAAGTTTTCCCTAATTTACTTTAAATTTAATTAGAAAAAAGATACAAATTTTAATTTAAAGAAAGATATAAGTTTATAATTAATTGATCTTTTTATAATTTTAAGTTTTTCTTAATTTAATTTAAATTTAATTAGAAAAAAGATATAAATTTTAATTTGAAGAAAGATATAAGTTTATAATTAATTGATCTTTTTATAATTTAAAGTTTTTCTTAATTTACTTTAAGTTTATCAAAGTAATTGTAAATTATTTACTGAATAGCATATTGTTTTTCATTAATTATATTTTTTAAAATATATTTTTTTAATATTTTTTAAAAAGAAATTTAAATATATATTGTTTTTCATTAATTATATTTAAATATTCTAGTATTAATTTAATTTTTATTGTATTTTTTTTTATTAAAATATATTGATAAATAGTTAATTTTATTTAGCTATTATTTAATTATCAATTTAATTGTTACTGATTAATCTTACTTAAAATATTGATCCAATCGAGAAGATTGTTTATAATTGTTTTTTAAAATACTACAAATTATTAACAATGTCTAAATTTGAGCGCTACTGGAATTTTGCATTTAAAAATAATCAAAATTGTTTTTTAAAAAAATGTCAATTTGCGCTTTTAGGGAATGTTAATTAGCGCCCGGTTTCTATTTAATGACTTTGTTTTTTTTTTTCTCTCTCATTTTCTTTCCTTTTTTTTTGTTTAAAAATTACAGGTGGTTGAATTTTTGTTCGAGAAGAATGCCAGAAGTAAATTTAAACAAAAATTACAATTTTTTTGAGATCAAAATTCTTTCCAAATTAGACATTAAAAATTATATTATTTGAATTTTTGAGATTTTGAATTCTCGACAAGCTAAATCTCGATGAGCTATTTTTAGACTGTATTTCAAAATTTTTATATTTCAAATTTTTGATAAATAATTAACTTTTGATTACTTTTAAATTACTTTTTTAAAATATTTAACTGTTCCTTCGTCTTCTTCATTTCATTTATTTCATATATTACTTAATTCTTTATTTTGTTTACTCAAATGAATAATTTTAAATATTTTCGTTTTTTCTTTTTAAAAAATAATATTTTATAATATTTTATTTTTCCTTTTTTTTTTTTAAAAAAAAATTTTTTTTTCATCTTTTTTGCATTTTTTATAACTTATTTTAACTTTTTGAATTGTTTTTTTTCTTTTTAAATTTATTTTCCATTGTTAATTCATTTTTCTTTCTCATTTGCATCGTTTTTTTTTTTTTATTTTTTTATTTTTTAAATGCTTTTTTGTTTACTTTACATTTTGTATGCTTTTTTGGTTTATTTAAATTTTTTAAATATTTTTTTTTTAAGCAATCTTTTGATTACTTTGCTCGTCTTACATACTGTTTATCTCACTTTAATGTTTATATATATATTTTTTTTATTATTAACTTTCTCATGTCACCCTTTTTGTCATTTAAGCTTGTCATTGCTTTCCTGTGTTTTTAATTTGTTTTGTTTTGTTGTTTCTTTTTTTGTTTTTTTTTTCACTTTTAAATAAATAAATAAAAACAAATGAATGAATAAATAAGTAGACGATTAGGTGAAAAAATGAATAACATAAATAAACAACAAATAAATAAATAATTATTTGTATTATTTATGTAATATTTAAGTGAAATAAACAGTAAATAAATAAGTATAAATAAATAATTATATGTATTATTTATGCAATGTTTAAGTGAAATAAATAATAAATAAATAAATAAAAATAAAGAAATAATAAACAATATAACATAAATAAATAAATAAATAATTAAATGTATTATTTATGCAACATTTAAGTGAAATAAATAATAAATAAATAAATATAAAATAAATAAATAATAAATAATGTGACATAAATAAATAATAAATAAATAATTATACATATTATTTATGCAACATTTAAGTGAAATAAATAATAAATAAATAAATAATAAATAATATACACATAAATAAATAATGAACAAATAAATAATTATGTGTATTATTTATGCAATATTTAAGTAAAATTAACAATAAATAAATAAATAATAAATAATATAACATAAATAAATAATAAATAAATATATGTATTATTTATGCAATATTTATTTTTTTTTCTCCTCTTATTTTGGGTTTTTTTTAAAAAAAAATTTTGGTATTTTTTTTTTTTTTTTGAAGTCATTTTTTGAATGCTAACAAATTAATTCTGTAAATTCTAACTGCTCATAAATGTAATTAAATATCATCATAAAAGTATGTTTAAAAGTAATTTTTAATTTAAAAGTAAAAGTAATTCTCATTTTTTTAACAAAAATTCTGAGCAAATTTTTTCAAAATTAAATTGATTAAAATTTGATAATTTTATTGATAACATTAAACGATTGCTATTTGCTAAATAATTAATAATAAAAGTAAGTATAAGTAAATTAACTTAGATGGAAGCATTTATTAGGTATAATAACTAAATTATATTTCTCATAAAAAAAAAAAAAAAAGAAATTCTGAATAGTTGATAAGATGCTTCTAAAGTGTTCCTTATCAGTTATTATCAGTCATTTCGTTTGCAAGCAATATGTCTGTTCAATCAGAGTAAGTTTATGCTTTTTTCCTACTTTTTTTCTTTTAGTTTCTTTAATAAGTGATAATCAATTTTTACATATAATTTATGCAATTTTGTTCTTTCTCAATTTTTTGATAAGAAAAAATTTTTAAAAATTTAAAATTTGAAATATAGAATTGATAATTAAAAGTTATTTGTTGAATTAACTATATATTTGTAACTCTGATAGCAATTTTTTGATAAGAAAAATTTTCTAAAATTTGAAATGGTTTTTTTAAAAGTTTTTTAAATTTAAATAGTTTTTTAAAAGTTTTTTTTTGAAATACTATGATAGTTTGATAAATAATTAAAATTTGATAGTGTTAACGAATCACTATAATCATAATTAAATTTTTACAAGTTTAAAAAAAATTTAAAATGGTTTGTAAATGAATTAAAATTGATAATTAAAAGTTATTTGTTGAGTTAGATATATATGTAATACAATTTTTCGTTTTCAATTTTTTGATAAGAAAAAATTTTTAAAAATTTAAAATTTGAAATAATTTGTAAATGAATTAAAATTGATAATTAAAAGTTATTTGTTGAGTTAATGGATTATTTTATTGCAATTTTTAAGCAATTAATAAATAAAAAAAAAAAAAATTATTCAAATCAAAATAATAAATATATTTCTTAATCTTTTGCAATTTAACAATTAATTAAATTTCTATTTCATATTTTAACAAATTAAAAATGACAAATAATTATTATAAACTTTTTAATAGTGAATACAAATTTTTGAAAAAAAAGAAAAAGAATAGAAAAAGGAAAAAATGGCATTCAATTTTAATGAATTTTTTTTAAAATATACAAATTTTCATGGCATTTAGTTTTTAAGTTAAATTTCTAAAGCAAAACATTTCCAATTCTAATTTTAATTAAAATTTTAATTAATTAAAATAACTGGAAATGAAGTATTACTTTTATCAGAAGTTAATAATAGTCAGATTTAATTGATTATTTATGATATAATTATTCATTATTAAATTATGGTAATTATGCTATTTTGTTAATTAATTGTTTTATTATGCCTTTTTGCATTAACAATAATTTCTTTTTCATCGTAAAATTTATTCATAAATATTTGAATTTATAATTAAGTCTCAATTTAAAAATCTTTTTTAATTTAATTCAATTTAATTCAAATCAATTTTTTTTTTTAAATTCATTATTAATTTTTTTAAATTAATCATAAACATGAAATGAAATAATGGAATAAAGATGAATATTTAATAATAAAATATAAATCACTGTAATTTAAAGTTATAAAATTACATAAAATTTAATTACAATTCTAATTATTCATTATCAATTTAAATTTTAATTATTTATCCGTATATGCTTTATGGATATGTTAGAAAATAGCTATGTATTATTTGTAAAAATAAACAATAAATAAATAAATAATATTATTTGTAAAAATAAACAATAAATAAATAAATAAATAATATTATTTGTAAAAATAAACAATAAATAAATAAATAATATTATTTGTAAAAATAAACAATAAATAAATAACATTATTTGTAAAAATAAACAATAAATAAATAAATAAATACTTAATGATAACAATTTGTTACAGCAATAAATTTCAATGATAATTGATAAATTGAAATAAATGATAATTCGTTGATTATTTATTTATATATATAATTTTTCAAAGCTTCATTTAGCTCTTGCCTGAACACATTAGCATCAATATTTGCTAATCTTATCAGTTAAATTTTGTATTAGTTAAAATTTCGGTAAACAAAAAAGTAAACAAAAAAAAAAAAAAAAAAAAAAAAACGCAAACTTGATAAAAATTCAAAAAAAGGAACTTTACAAAAAAAAAAGAAATGCTTAGTTGATTTTGTTATAAGCTAACGATTGATTAAATATATTTATTAGTAAGTTTGAAAGGACTTTAAAAAAAAAAAATTAATTTAATTTTAATTAGTTTAATTAATTTTTTTAAAAATTAATTTCAGAATCATTACGATAAGCATTTCATATAATCAATAATGAAAAATCATTTGTGCTATATAATTATTTGAATTTAATTTATCAAAAGTTTTATTAAAATCAGAAAAAAAAAGTAATTTTTGATTCGAATTTCAAATCCAATTCCTATTAGATAACAAAATATTTGATCAAATTTCAGTTCCAATTCCTATTTGATAGCAAAGTAATTTCTGATTCAAATTTCAAATTCAGTTTCTATTTGATAGCAAAGTAATTTCTGATTCAAATTTCAAATTCAATTCCTATTTGATGACGAAGTAATTTCTGATTCAAATTTCAAATTCAATTCCTATTTGATGACGAAGTAATTTCTGATTCAAATTTCAAATTCAATTCCTATTTGATGACGAAGTAATTTCTGATTCAAATTTCAAATTCAGTTTCTATTTGATAACATTTTTTTATTGATAAATATAATTTTTAAATTATATGAAGGAAGAAGAAAAAAAAAAAAAAAAAGGGAAATTAAAAAATTGATTGTGTCTAATTTAATATTTTAAATGTTTAATTGAACTGCATGCATAATTAAATATTTGTTGATAATATTAGTTAAAAATTTCAAATTATAATTTTATTTTAATTTTAATATTTTGTATATTTTAGAAATGGAAAAATTACAATTTGGATTGAAAGTGGTGATAAAAAGGCAGAAATTTACGCTAAAACAGCATGTTGTGATACTAATAGTACGTTAGATGGAAGTAAGCATATTGTTTTCCTTTTATTTATTTATTTGTTTATTTGTTTATTTATTTATTTTTTAAATATTTTAGAATGAGAGCACTTGTATGAAACACAAAATTATAAATGTAATCATTTGAAATATTTATTCATTTCTAATTTATTTGTTTATTAAATTGATTGCTATGATTAAATTTATTGTTTAGCTGGAATTTCAAATTTATTAGTATTTAAAAAAAAAAAAAAAAAAAAAAAAAATAAAATTATGATTAAATTAATTCTTTAATCGGAATTTCAAATTTTTATGTATTAAAAAAAAATTACGATTAAATTAACTGTTTAACCTGAATTTTAAATTTATTTGTATTAAAAAAAAAAATTATAATTAAATTATTTGTTTAATCAGAATTTCAAATCTATTAGTATTAAAAAAAAATAATATTATGATTAAATTAATTTTTTGATCAGAATTTCAAATTTATTTGTATCAAAAAAATAAATTACAATTAAATTAATTGTTTAATTGGAATTTCAAATTTATTTGTGTTAAAAAAAAATTATAATTAAATTAATTGTTTATCAGACTTTTTTTGGCTAATATTTGACATTTTTTTTTTCTGATTATTTGACAATTTAGCTACTAATTGACCATTTTTTAAGACTTTTTCGTAAAATTTTTTTATAAATTTAATTAAAAATTATAATTTTAAAATAAAATTTTTAATAATTTTATTATTAAAAATAAATTTAATTCAAAAAAATAAAAATAAAAATAAATAAATTACAGGTATTACAGTTGCTAATGAGCTATCGCTTTATGCTGGAAATAAAAGTCTTCCATTAATTACGGCATTTTTTAAAAGTTTTAATGTTCAAAATGTTAATGACAGTAATTATGTACGAAAAAAGGTATGAAATTTTATATTTTATTTTTTAATATAATTTTTTTTTTTTTTTTTTTTAGGAACAAAATTTATTTTGAAAAATTTGAGTAAAATTTTTGAAAAAAAAAAAAAAAAAATGAAATAATTAGAAATGATTTATTAAATTAATCTAATGATAGATCAAAATAAAAATGATATTTGCATATATTAGACAGATAATTTGAAAAGATAAAATAATAATAATATTAAAAATTGAAAACAAAAAAAAAAGATTTTAATTTCTATTAGTTATATAATTAATTATTAGTAAAAAAATTTAATTTGTAAAAAAATTCTCGAAATTCTCGAAATTATTAATGAAAAAAAAATCTAATTTCCAAAAAAATTCTCGAAATTTTTGATAAAAAAATTCAATTTTTAAAAAAAATTCTCGAAATTCTCAAAAAATTCTCAAAATTATTAATAAAAGAATTTAATTTGTAAAAAAATTCTCGAAATTCTTGAAATTATTAATGAAAAAAAAATCTAATTTCCAAAAAAATTCTCGAAATTTTTGATAAAAAATTTGTAAAAAAATTCTCGAAATTATTAATGAAAAAATCTAATTTCTAATGAAATTCTCGAAATTCTTGAAATTATTAATTAAAAAATTTAATTTCTGAAGAAATTCTCAAAATTTTTAATTAAAGAATTTAATTTCTAAAAAAATCTCAAAAATTTACCTTTGAGAATTTAATTTTTATTAGTTATATAATTAATTAATTAGTAATAAAAAATCAATTAGCATATTAAGATTAATTAATGTTGGATTTAAGATCAAATTAATGAAAGAGATGAAAAATTATTTGTTTACATCAAATCCATTCTCACAAAATTATGATCAAACTTTTTCAGCAATATTATTTTGATAACTGAAATAATCCAATTTAAAATTAAAAAAAATAATTTAAAACAAAAAAAAAAAATATTAGTAATATTATATTATATTTTATAATTTAAAATAAAAAATAAAAAGTGTTAGTAATATAATATTATATTTTATTATCACTGAACTGATATGATAATGATAATATTAGTATTATAATAATAAAATTCAATTTTATCTACCAATATGTGATTCAATAATATTTTGAAAAAATAATAAAAAATGTTCAAACTGATAATGATAATATGATAATATTAATTATTTATTAATTAAGTTTATATATTTTGAATTTTATTTTCATTGTTAATTTTACCAATTTATTGTACCAAATAAAATGAAATTATTTCATCAAATATCAAATTTTAATTACTTTTAAATTTGATTATAAAATACTTTGGTAATTACTGTACCTAACGAATAAAAAAGGTACTTACTGTACCTGACGAATAAAAAAGGTACTTACTGTACCTGACGAATGAAAAGGTACTTACTGTACCTGACGAATGAAAAAGGTACTTACTGTACCTGACGAATAAAAAAGGTACTTACTGTACCTGACGAATAAAAAAGGTACTTACTGTACCTGACGAATAAAAAAGGTACTTACTGTACCTGACGAATAAAAAAGGTACTTACTGTACCTGACGAATAAAAAAGGTACTTACTGTACCTGACGAATAAAAAAGGTACTTACTGTACCTGACGAATAAAAAAGGTACTTACTGTACCTAGAGAATAAAAAAGGTGCCTACTGTACCTAACGAATAAGAAAGGTACTTACTGTACCTGACGAATAAAAAAGGTACTTACTGTACCTGACGAATAAAAAAGGTACTTACTGTACCTGACGAATAAAAAAGGTACTTACTGTACCTAGCGAATAAAAAAGGTACTTACTTTACCCAACAAGTAAAGAAGGTACCTACTGTAACTTGCGAATAAGAAAGGTACTTACTGTACCTGACGAATAAAAAAGATACCTACTGTATCTGACGAATGAAAAAGGTACCTACTGTCCTAACGAATAAAAAAATATTTTATAATAAAATTTAAATATAAAAACAAAGTCTGAAAAAAAAAAATGAAAAATCGAATCAAATTCTCTTAAAATATATATTATTATTATTATGTAAAATTATAATTTAAATTAAAATTATTTTATTAAGGCAAATCTTGGTACCATTTTGGGTGTATATTTACCAACCATACAGCACATTTTTGGTGCAATTATGTTCCTACGACTATTTTGGATTGTTGGTATTATGGGTATTGGCCAATGCATTACAATGACATTTCTATGCATGTTTTGTGTAAGTATTATTTTAATAATATTAATTTATAAATTTAGATGAAAATAAAAATAAATTAAAAAAAAAAAAAAATGGAAAAATTTAAATATTACAAAAATTACATAATTTCCAACGTTTTTTTTTTTTTTTTTAAAAAAAAAACCAATTTATTATAATAAAAAATAAATTTTAAATTAATTTTAATTTGAAAAATTTAATTATAAATTTAGATAAATTAAAAAAATGAAAAAATTAAATATTGCAAAAATTGCATATCTTCAACTTTTCTCTTTTTTTTTAAAAAAAAAACCAATTTATTGAGATAAAAAAAAAAAAAAATTTTCGAATTAATTTTAATTTAAAAAATTTCTTTAATTTATTTTCCTCATTTACTATTAATCATAGTAATAAAATGAAAAAATGAATTAGTTACAAATTTTAATTTTTTTTTTTTATAATTTGAAATTTATCAAATTATTTAAATATCTTTTTTTTTTCTCATTTTTAAAATATTTTAAATTGATATTTTAATTAAATGTATTTATGCATTTAATTTCATACATTTTTAGACCTTTTTAACATCGATCAGTTTGAGTGCTGTTGCAACCAATGGTGTTATTGAAACCGGTGGTACCTATTATATGATTTCACGAAATTTGGGACCTGAATTTGGTACCGCTGTTGGTATATTATTTTATTTGGGTAATGCATGTGCATGCGCTATGTATATTGTTGCAGCAGTTGAAGTATTTCTTGTAAGTTTTAAAAAAAAAAAAAAAATTTTAAAAATAATTTTACTTCGTGCTAAAGGTTTTACTTCAAATATAATTTATTTAATTAATTAAAAAATTAATTAATCAAATTTGCAATTTATTTAATTTTATTCTTTTTTTTTTTAAAAAAAAATTATTTTCATTTAAAACAACAATTTTAGCTTGCGAATTTGAAATAATTTTGCTTCTTGCAAAAGTTTTACTTCAAATATGATTTATTAAATTTGATTAATTAATTAAGAAATTAAGTAATCAAATTCGCAATTTATTTAATTTTATTCTTTTTTTTTTTAAAATTATTTTCATTTAAAATTATAATTTTAGCTATATATAGCACCAAATATGACAATTGGTGGTCAAGAGATACACGATGATACTGGTTAATTTCTTATTATAATTTCTAATTGTGTATTCAATTTCAAATTTTATTTTTGTATATGTGTTATTCTAACATTTTAATGAAAATATAAAAGATATTTTTGTATTTAAAATGGTATAAATTAATGAAATATTAAATTTATTATTTTCAGTAAATAATAATTTTTCGATTAGAAATTTCTAATTGTGTATTCAATTTCAAATTTCATTTTTGTATATGTGTTATTCTAACATTTTAATGAAAATATAAAAGATATTTTTGTATTTAAAATGGTATAAATTAATGAAATATTAAATTTATTATTTTCAGTAAATAATTTTTCGATTAGAAAAGCAAATTTTTGAAACAAAATTTTTTTTTTGCTAAATTTTAGGTTTAATTGGAATGATGTCAAATAATTATCGTTTTTATGGTACCATCATTTTATTATTAATATTTGCTGTTGTTGCACTTGGCGTTCGATTTGTACAATTCTTTGCACCGGTTAATAATTTCCATTTATTTAATTAATTAAAATTTAATTAAAAATTTAATTTATCGGTAGAAATTTAAAAAAAAAAATTGGAAATGTTATTATTATTATTATTTAGATTTGATCTAATTATTATTTAAATTTCATTTATATTCCAATCATTTTTTTTCTTTTTTTTTTAAAATTTATTCACTTGAAAAAAAAAAGTAAAACATAATTTTTCAATTATTTTATTTTTTTTTTTGAAATTAAAAATAGGAAAAAAGAATTAAAAATTTTAAAATGCTTAAATAATTTTCAAATATTAAATACTTACATATGTTAATTCTTTAATAGTAATTTGAGTGAAAAATTTAATTTAATTTTTGTTTCTTTTTCATTTTAGATTTTTTTAGATTTGATTTAATTATTATTTTGATTTTATTCATATTTCAATCGTTTTTTTTTTTTTTTTTTTAAATTTTTTCACAAAACAAAAACAAAAAATAATTAATTCTTTATAACAATAATAATTAAAAAAATAACAGTCAATTCCTTAATAGTAATTTGAGTAAAAAACAAAACAAAAATATAATAATTAATTCTTTACAATAATAATAATAATTAAAAACATAATAAATAATTCTTTACAATAATAATAATAATTAAAAACATAATAGTTAATTCTTCAAACAGTAATTTGAGTAAAAAACAAAACAAAACAAAAACATAGCAATTAATTCTTTATAATAATAATAATTAAAAACATAATAATTAATTCTTTATCTTTATAATAATAGTTAAAAACATAATAATTAATTCTTTACAATAATAATAATTAAAAACATAATAATTAATTCTTTACAATAATAATAATTAAAAACATAGCAATTAATTCTTTTACAATAATAATAATTCAAAACATAATAGTTAATTCTTTTACAATAATAATAATTAAAAACATAATTGTTAATTCTTTTCTCTTTATAACAATAATTTAAAACATAACAATTAATTCTTTATCTTTATAATAATAATAATTAAAAACATAATAATTAATTCTTTACAATAATAATAATTAAAAACATAATAATTAATTCTTTACAATAATAATAATTAAAAACATAACAATTAATTCTTTATCTTTATAATAATAATTAAAAACATAATAATTAATTCTTTTACAATAATAATAATTCAAAACATAATAGTTAATTCTTTTACAATAATAATAATTAAAAGCATAACAGTTAATTCTTTTCTCTTTATAACAATAATTTAAAACATAATAATTTATTCTTTACAATAATAATAATAATTAAAAACATAACAGTTAATTCTTAAATACTAATTTGAATTAAAATTAAATTTAATTTTTGTTTCTTTCTTTTTTCTCATTTTAGATTTCTCTAGTCTGTGTGCTACTCTCGATAGCAGCTATCTTTGCTGGTGTCATCGAGAAAAGTGTCACATCTAGCAATCATCGAGTGTGCTATCTAAATAATCGTTTATTACATGCAAATGCATATACATCAATTCAAAGTATCACAAATAATAATAATAACAATAATCTTTGCTCTTATTGTAATTTTAATAATTCAAAACTTTTTGATGCAATTTGTCGCAATAATAATAATAATTTCTCGTCGCTAAATTCATGCGACAATTATACGTTAACATGCGAAAAAGTTTTTGTTGGTATACAAAGTGGTGCTTTTCTTGGTTTGTTTATATTTATTTATTTATTTGTTTATTTGTTTATTTATTTTTGTTAATTTTATTTAAAATATTTTATTAAGTATTTTTTTAAGAGTTTTTTTTTTTTTTTTATTAATTAAATATTTTTTTTTCAAATTATTAATTTGAATATTTTTGTTAATTTATTTAATTTTAATATTTGATTGTCATTTTATTTCTATTTATTTAATTTGTTTATTAATATTAAGCATTTCAAATATTTTTTTTTTTTATTAATTAAATTTTTTTTTTTTGATTATCAATTCGAATATTTTTGTTAATTTATTTAATGTTTTATTGTCATTTTTATTTTTAATTACTTATTATCATTAAGAATTTTCTATTATTTTTTTTATTAATTAAATATTTTTTATTTAATTATTAATTCGAATATTTTTGTTAATTTATTTAATAATTCATTGCCATTTTTATTTTTAATTACTTATTATCATTATATTCATTTATTTGTTTTATTAATTTTATTTGAAATACTTCATTAAGCATTTCAAATATTTTTTTTTATTAATTAAATATTTTATTATTATTATTAATTTTTCTATTATTATTATTAATTCGAATATTTTTGTTAATTTATTTAATAATTCATTTTCATTTTTATTTTTAATTACTTAATTACTTATTATCATCGAGCATTTTCTATTATTTTTTTTTATTAATTAAATATTCTTCATTATCAATTCTAATATTTTTGTTAATTTATTTAATTTTAATATTTTACCGTCATTTTATTTCTAATTACTTAATTACTTATTGTCATTAAACATTTCTGATATTTTTTTAATTAATTAAACAATTTATTTAATATTTCATTGTCATTTTTTGTTTTTAATTACTTCTCATTTTTTTTTTTTTTTTAATATAATTCATTTTAGCATATCTCAGTAAATCTAGGTAAAACTAAAAATTACTTTTTATTACTTTTTTATAAAATTATTATTTGCTAGGAATTAAATTTAATATTTAAAAAAAATTTTTTTTTTTAGAAAATTTTGGTAGTCATTATATGAAGGAAGGTGAAGTAGCACCAAAACAATATGTCAATAACAAAAAATTGGAAATTTTTCAAGTAATAAACATATTTTTTTGTTTTTTTTTTTATTTTTAAAATTAATTAATTTTATTAAATAAAAAAAAAAGTTTCAATTTTTGTTATTTACAATTAATTAATTTTATTATCCAATTTAATATTAAAAAATTTTGAATTAAAATGAAAAAAAAAAAAAGAAAGAAACAATAAGTAATAAATTTTTGAGGAAAAATATTATTAATAAATTTATTTATTTGAAAATTAAAAAATTTTTCTGATCTTTAAATTTTGTTAATTTCAATTAATATAATCTATTTTTATATGTTATAGAAGAAAACAAAAAAAAGAAAGAATGAAATATTAAAATATTTTTTCTGAAAAACATCTAAGTTAAATTATCGCAATATGCTTCTTATTTTTGTTTATCTAAGCTATTTTCTTTTTTTTTTTTTTTTTTTCTAAAATGGATATTTTATAAGTTAGAATTATAAGTTTATAAGTTACAAGTTAGAGTTATAAGTTTATAAGTTACAAGTTAGAGTTATAAGTTTATAAGTTACAAGTTAGAGTTATAAGTTTATAAGTTACAAGTTAGAGTTATAAGTTTATAAGTTATAAGTTAGGAAAAATTTATTTATCAATTTCTTATTTTACTTACATTGTATTACTTATAATTAAGTTAATTTTAAGTAATACTATTTAATTTTAACTTATAACTTATAAACTTATAACTCTAACTTATAACTTATAAACTTTATTTAAGTAATTATATTACATATTTATTTACTTAAAAAAAATTTTAGAATGTGACAAGGACATTTATTATTTATAAGTTTATAAGTTAGAATAAATTTATTTATCAATTTCTTATTGTACTTACATTGTATTATTTTATAAGTTAGGGTTATAAGTTTATTAGTTATAAGTTAGAGTTGCAAGTTTATAAGTTATAAGTTAAAGTTATAAGTTTATAAGTTAGAACAAATTTATTTATCAATTTCTTATTGTACTTACATTGTATCATTTATAATTAAGTTAATTTTAAGTGATACTAGTAATACTATTTAAGTAATTATATTACATATTTATTTACTTAAAAAACAATTTTAGAATGTGACAAGGACATTTATTATTTATAAGTTTATAAGTTAAAATAAATTTATTTATCAATTTCTTATTGTACTTACATTATATAATTTATGATTAAGTTAATTTTAAGTAATACTATAAGTGGTATAAATATTTGTTTGTTTATTTAAAAAAACAAATTTTAGGATGTGACAACAACATTTTTTGTCGTTATGGCAATTTATTTTCCAAGTGTTACTGGTATTATGACAGGTGCAAATATGAGTGGTTGGTATATTATTTATTATTGTTTATTGTTTATTAAATCATTTGTTTATTAACAAAATAGTTTACTGTTTTTTTTCTTAAGTGAAAATATTTATTTAAATATTGTTTTCTTTTTTTTTTTTTAAATTAATATTTATTAAAATTTTTTTAATTTAAATTAATAGCATTTTGTTGTTTGAAATTATTTATTTAAATTAATAAATTAATTATTTTGATTAATTAGGCAAATTTCTAGGGAATTCTTATTGAACATTTTAAAATTAATATTGTATTAGTAAAAAGTTTAAATAATATTCATTAATTAATGATAAGAAATACTAACGCCATTTAAACTATAAAATTTGAATTGTCATACTTATTTATTTATTTATTTTTTGTTTATTTATTTATTTATTTTTTTTTTTTTTGCAGGTGATTTAAAAGATCCACAAAAAAGTATACCTCAGGGAACAATTGCTGCACAATTAACAACATCAACAATATACTTTTTCCTTATCTTAGCTTTTGGTTCAACAATTTCAGGTAAACAAAATTTTATTTTATCAATTTCAGTATTATCAATTTCATTTAGCTTTTTTTTTTTTTTAATTTCTTAAAATACTATATTTTATAATTTTATTTTATCAATTTCATTTAGCTTTTTCAATTTTAATATTATCAATTCCGATATTATCAATTTCAATATTATCAATTTTTTTTATCAATTTCAATATTATCAATTTTAATATTATCAATTTCAGTATTATCAATTTCATTTAGCATTTTAATATTATCAATTTCAATATTATCAATTTCATTTAGCTTTTCATTTTAATATTATCAATTCCGATATTATCAATTTCAATATTATCAATTTTTTTTATCAATTTCAATATTATCAATTTTTTTATCAATTTTAATATTATCAATTTCAGTATTATCAATTTCAATATTATCAATTTTTTTATCAATTTTAATATTATCAATTTCAGTATTATCAATTTCAACATTATCAATTTCATTTAGCTTTTTCAATTTCAATATTATCAATTTTTTTATCAATTTCAATATTATCAATTTTTTTATCAATTTCAATATTATCAATTTCAGTATTATCAATTTCAACATTATCAATTTCATTTAGCTTTTTTTTTTAATTTCTTAAAATATTACATTTTTATAATTTTATTTTATCAAATTTTAATCTCATTTTATTTTTTTTACATTTATATATTTAATATCTCATTAATGATTTTATTTTTGTTTTTAATTTTCTTACAAATTATATTTTAATAAATTTTATTTTCTTTCAACAAATTTCTAGGCCCAGTTTTACGTGACAAATATGGCCAAAGTATGATTGGTTCTGGCATGATAGTAGCTGAATTAGCTTGGCCATCATCATGGATTATTATGATTGGTGCATTTACATCATGTTTTGGTGCTGCACTACAATGTCTTTGCAGTAATTTATTTCATTTTATAACAATGATAAATAAAATTAATTAATAATTTCTAAAATTTTATTTACAAAATAAAAACCAAAAAAAAAAAAAATGTTTGTAAAATTTTGTTATTTATAGGTGCTTTGATATTTAGTAAAATTTGATTTAATATTTAGCAAAATTTGATTCCATATTCAGTACAATTTGATATTTAGTAAAATTTGATTTAATATTTAGTAAAATTTGATTTAATCTTTACTAAAATTTGATATTTACTAAAATTTGATTTAATATTTTGTAAAATTTCAATTTAATATTTTGCAAAATTTTAATTTGATAATTAGTAAAATTTGATTTGATATTTAGTAAAATTTTAATTTGATATTTAATAAAACTTGATTTGATATTTAGTAAAATTCGATTTAATCTTTGGCAAAATTTGATTCCATATTCAGTACAATTTGATATTTAGTAAAATTCGATTTAATCTTTAGCAAAATTTGATTCTATATTCAGTACAATTTGATATTTAGTAAAATTTGATTTAATCTTTACTAAAATTTGATATTTAATAAAATTTGATTTAATATTTAGTAAAATTCGATTTAATATTTAGTAAAATTTAGTTTGATATTTAATAAAACTTGATTTGATATTTAGTAAAATTTGTTATTTAGTAAAATTCGATTTAATATTTAGTAAAATTTGACCTGATATTTATTCAAATTTGATTTAATCTTTACTAAAATTTGATATTTAATAAAATTTGATTTAATATTTAGTAAAATTTGTTATTTATAGGTGCTCCACGTTTATTACAATCAATAGCAAAAGATGATGTTTTACCATTTTTGCGATCATTTCAAGTGCTAACACAATGGAATGAACCATTTCGATGGTATGTAAATAAAAAAAAAAAAACTTTTAGCTAAAAAAAAAAGCAAAAAATTATCATATCTTATCAGTTACAATGATATATAATATCACCATGATTATTAAATAGAAAAATTTTTAAATAATTAAATTGAATTAATCGATATATTATCATATTTTATCAGTTATAATGATATATAATACTATCATAGTTACTAAATAGAAAATTTTAAATAATTAATTTGAATTGATTGACATATTAATTATCATATCTTATCAGTTACAATGATATACAATATTACCATGATTATTAAATAGAAAAATTTTTAAATAATTAAATTGAATTAATCGATATATTATTATATCTTATCAGTTATAATGATATATAATACTATCATAGTTACTAAATAGAAAATTTTAAATAATTAATTTGAATTGATTGACATATTAATTATCATATCTTATCAGTTACAATGATATATAATATTACCATGATTATTAAATAGAAAAATTTTTAAATAATTAATTTGAATTAATCGATATATTATTATATCTTATCAGTTATAATGATATATAATACTATCATAGTTATTAAATAGAAAATTTTAAATAATTAATTTGAATTAATTGACATATTAATTATCATATCTTATCAGTTATAATGATATATAATACTATCATAATTATTAAATAGAAAATTTCAAATAATTAATTTGAATTGATTGACATATTAATTATCATATCTTATCAGTTATAATGATATATAATACTATCATAGTTATTAAATAGAAAATTTTAAATAATTAATTTGAATTGACTGACATATTAATTATCACATCTTATCAGTTACAGTGATATATAATATTACCATAATTATTAAACAGAAAATTTCAAATAATTAATTTGAATTAATTGACATATTAATTACTATATCTTATCAGCTACAATAATACATAATATTGTCAATAATTATTAAGTAGAAAATTTTTGAAGTAATTAATTTGAATTAATTGAATAAATATACTTTTTGCAGTTTAATTTTAACAGTGTTAATAGCAGAATTGATCATATTAGTGGCGGCATTAGATCGAATTGCGCCAATTGTTGATTTTTTCTTTTTAATGTGTTATGCATTCATTAATCTTGCATGCTTTTTGCATTCCATTCTTGGTGCACCAAATTGGCGACCTCGTTTCAAATGCTATCATTGGTAAAATTTCATAAAAATTTGTTAAAAAAAAAAAAAAAAAAAAATTTATAAATTATAAAAAATATTTGTTTATTTATAAAAATCTATTCATTAATTAATGAAGAGAAATTATTCTAACATTTGGTATACATTTTAATATTTACAATAAAAAAAAATTTTTTTTTTTTAAATTTAAAATTTAAAAAAAAAAAAAAAAAAAAAACGAACTTATTTTTTTAGGACATTATCATTACTTGGAACATTATTATGCTTATTTATAATGTTTTCAACTCATTGGATTTATGCTCTGATTGTCACATTACTTTGTGGTATGATCTATAAGTATGTGTCATGGAAAGGGTATAATTTTTATAAATTAAATAAAAGTTTAAAATCAAATTTGGAGAGAAAAAAAAAAAGAAAGAAAGAAAGAAAGAAGCTAATAACATTTAGAAAATTATCATCATATCAGTGCTGAACATTAATTTTATGCACAAATTTTGTTTAAAATACTTTTTTAAATTAGTAAAAAGTTATTTTCTAAAGCAAAAATAATGATTGCTTAGTTTAAAAAAGTAGTAATTTCACTTTTTTTTCATTATAATTTTAAGTTTTAAATTTATGCAAAAATGTATTCATATTATATGGATAGCATTATTAAATTAATGATAACGAATATCATCTTATTTACAATTTAATTTTCAGTGATAAGAAAGAATGGGGTGATGGTATGACAGGACTTATACTTAGTACAGCTCAATTTTCACTTTCAAAATTAGATGATAAACAACCACATCCAAAAAATTGGCGACCACAATTACTGTTAATTGCAAATTTACCGCTAGCTGAAAATTGGCGACAAAATGAAACCACCCGAAAATTACTTAGTCTTGCAAGTCAACTTAAAAAAGGTCGTGGTTTAACTGTTGCTGTAGCATTGCATAAAGGTCAATCTACTAATAAAAATGCTAAGGTAATAATAATTCAACTTTTTATTTTATTTTATTTTTTTTATTTTTTTCAATTAATTATAAATTTTATTGTTAAAATAAAATTGATAATAAAAAAGTTTGGATAATTCATTTAAGTGATAGAAAATATTTCGAGCATTTATTTTAATTGTTCTAACTAAGAAAGAAAATGAAATCAAATTACATGAATGAATTTGCTAAAAAATAAACTCATTTTTTTTTTTTTAGTTTGAAAAATAAATTTATCAAAATTAAATTTATTGGATAGCTTAAAATGAATGATTAAATAATAAATAATTTTATCAAATTATTATCAGTTATGATAATAATAGAGAGAGGAGGTTTTTTTTTTTTTTTGCTTTTTTCTTTTCGAGATAATTAAATCAATGAAAAACTCTAATCAAAAATGGGTGACAATAAATATGACAATGTGACAAATGACATTTCTGATACTATAATAATAATAATAGATAATTGCGGCACAAATGAAAAAAGAGCTACTGGAAGAGATGACAAATGCAAAAGTTCATGGCTTCTGCTCATCACTTATATATGAAGCGGATCAATTGGAAGGTACATTATCAACTCTTATACAAAGTTGTGGTATTGGACCATTACGTCCAAATACTTTGCTAATTCCGTATCCGGAAGAATTGCATGCGGAAAGTGTTTATTGGCATTTCTTACGTATGTTACCATTTTCTTATTTTATAAACAATTTAAAAAAAAAAAAAAAAAACATTTATAAATTATGAAGTTGAAAAATACATTCTTAGTCTAAAAAAAAAAAAAAAAAAAAATTAAACTTTAATTTTGAAAAGTTTAATTTTTAAATTATAGATCGTCTTCAACATGGTGCAATGCAAGATATGTGCTTACTTGTATTAAAAGGTATTCCATATTTTCCGGAAAATGAATACAGAATGGCTGGAAATATTGACATGTGGTGGATCCTTCATGATGGTGGCTTATTACTTCTTATTTCATTTTTACTCAAACAACATAAGGTATTAATTGCTTACCTGATTTTTATCATAAAAAATCATTCTTGAATTAACTCTCGATTTATTTCAATTATAAAAGAAAAAATTCATAATATAGTCGTCTAGTTGTAGACAAATAATACTTTTATACTACTATCATCATTTTCAGGTTTGGCGCAATTGTCACCTAAGAATATTTGTTGTTGTTGGACATGATGATAATAAATCACAATTACGACATGACATGGAGAAATTTTTATACGAAATGCGCATCAATGCTAATTTATATGCATGTTTTTAATTTATCAAATTTTTTTTTTTTTTTTTTTTGTAAATATTGCAAAATAGAATTGATTCAATGTCAAATATTTATCTGATTAAAAGTTAATTAGATGAAAATTAAAAAAAAAAAAAAAAAAGAAAAGAAAAATGAATAAAATTGAATAAATAGAAGAAATGAAGAGGAGAAAAAATTTTTTTATTTCATCACATAATAAACTATTTAAATAATTTCTTACTTAATGATAACATTAATTAGAATAAGTTATTACTCATTCAGTTAATTTATTCGTTTAATAAAATTATAACCTATTTGTTTACTTTTTCTTTTTATAAACAAATTTCAAAAAAACTTTTCATTCTTTAGAAATAATTGCAATAAATTTCAGAAGAGGAAAAAAAAAATTTTTTTTTTTTAAACTATTTTGTAAATTCATTTATTTTACAATTATTTTCTTTAGCTAGAAGAATTTGCAACTCCAGATATATCAGCATATGAAATACAACGATCACTACAAAATGATACATCAAGTTTGTCGAGAAAGAAACGTTGTTCAATGGTATTATATTGCTTATCCTAGAAATTTTTAAAATAATTTCATTCTGATTTTTCATCTCAACAAAAAAAAAAAAATTTTTAAAATAATTTCATTCTGATTTGCTGGTAACGAAAATATATTAGAATAGAATACATCTAAATGTGTTTATATTGAAAATTTTAATTTATTCAAGCAAACTGTGCCATAAATTGAACAGCTAATATTCGTTCACAGATTATAAATAATTTGATAATTGATTTTATGCTACCTATCAAAAATTTACAAATTTCGTATTTAGGATTATAATAATACTCAAATAAGGTATGCTATGAAAAAAATTTAAATAAAATTATTTTTGCTTTATTAAAATAAATTTTTGTTAAGCGAATATTTATTTCTATTTCTCTATCTCTCTATCTAATTAAAACTAATATTGTATTTTTCATCAGTTAAATTTTTAATTAATATTTATCGCTTTTATTTTTGCTCTATGATCATTAATTAATTAAATCAATATGATGCACCAGGTGATAACATTAAATCATTAGAATAAAATACAGCAAAAATAGAAAGAAAAAAAAAAAAAAGAATGAAAGAATTAAAATTATTACATTTCTAGGTTCAAGTTATTCTTGATCAAAATCGAAAACAACGCGAAAATGAGAAACAAAGTAAATTAATTTTAATTATTGATTTTATTGTCATTTGAAATCTTGCTATGTTTTCTCATTAAAAATACCTTTTTTCTTGAATTCAGAAAAAAAAAAAAAAAAAAAAAAAAAAAAACTCCAATGTTCTCTTTCTTATTTTGTAGACAATGAATTTAAAGTTCTTTGTCAAACTATTCAAATGGAATCAGAAACCAAAAGAAATGAACAAACGGCAGATAATTTCGAAAGTAATTCGTATCCGACAAATCTTCCACAGCTCAATCCATTTCGAATGTTTGTTTTTTTTTTTTTTTTTTCATTTTCTTTTTATTGTTCCTAAAAAAGAAATGATTTCCTATTGAAATTTCATTTCTCCTATAAAAAAAAAAAAAAAAAGAAAAGAAGAGAGAACAAAGAAATTTCATGAATGTTTTCAATTTTAATTTCCTCTACGATAGTAGTTTAAGTGATTCTATACTAATAGTTTCATAGTTTCAACTTTCAACTTTTTGAAACATCAACTTTCGAGCTTTAATACATTTTTGTTTTTTCAGCGTACATTCAAATAATGATCTAGAAAATGACAAATGTGGAGGAAAGTTTAAATGTGAGAGGAAGTTTACATTCAGTTCATTTGAATCAGAAGTAAGCAACACTATCAATCGAGAAGTATTAATTAAGTCATCCGATCAACTAAAGGAACATCTACCAAATGAGGTTTTTTTCTTTTTTTGAAAACTTTTCATGTTGAAGCACTTTTTTTTTTTTTTCTCCTTGGAATTATTTAAAACATCATGAAAATTTAATTAATTCAATAATTAAAAATATAATTACACTCACAAATGCTCAGATTTTTATAAATCAATCGTATCATTCAACTTTTAGCGTGTAATACGTGAAGTTCATTCGGCTGTACGTTTGAATGGAAAAATATTCGAGAAGTCTAATGCAAGTGCTCTGGTAGTACTAAATCTTCCAGAACCACCAAAAAAAGAATCTGCTCTTCCCAATTATATGGAATATTTAAATGTGCTAACGCATAACCTACGACGAGTTCTTTTGGTCCGAGGTAGTGGTTCCGAAGTAATCACCAAATATTCGTAATTTCGTTGTATAAATCTTTATACACGCTTCGTTATATTATAAAGAATTACAAAATTCAAATTGTTGATTTATGAAATTATTTTGCAATATTAATTTTTTTTTTTTGAAATATTTGAAACAAAGAAGAGTGACATTAAAATTCCAATAATTCGATGCGATAAACTATTTTATCTTTGAAAATATTACAACTGTAAATGATGAAGTGTCTGAGAAAATTAAAAAAAAAGAAAGTTTACTTATTAATCGAAATTTATTCTTCTATGGTACTTCGCTTTTTTTTTCCTCATCTGAATGCAAATACAGTTAATATTGGATGACATCGACAATGTCGCTCTGAAAAAGAAATCAAAGTAGTTCGTTGCTTCAAAAATTTCAACTATTTTAAATTTCGAAATTTCAAGTATCAAGATCTTTTTTTTTTAAAACAACTTTCATGTTCAAACAATATTATCAACTACTAATACTTTAGAGTAGTAACCATCAGTTGTTTTAGAATTATACTGAAGATGTCAATAATACGATAATTAGTCAAAAAACAAACACAATTCCTTACAGCATATTGTGATGACACACAAATTGTCATAATTTTATTGGTTAAGTAATTAAACTTATTTTAAGTAAATTAAATAAAAAGAAGTTATTTGCAAGATTTCAAAAACTTCATATTTCTTTGAATTTAAAGAAAAGGAGAGCAGAATTCTCTGCATGATTCCCAGAAAAGAGTGACAATCACAATTTGTTATACGACATTACCGCCATTCATCACACAATTTCCCATCATTACATTTCATTGTTTGTAGCATACGATGAAAATGCTACACTGTAATTTCCTATGCAACAGACAAGGGTAGGAAATATAATGGTTTTTGGAGAGAGGTTGTTGTACGGTAGAATGTTGTACAATAGAATACAATATTTTGAGAGAATTTAGGGGTTGCTAAGATTTACGAAACAGTGTACAGTTAGCGGATAATTAGAGAATACTAGAGAACATGAAGGTAGTATATGACTCTAATTGAGAAGATGAAAAGATTGAGAGAGTGTTAGAAAGTCAACGGTGATTGATTATAACAGTGATTGAGAGTAATCTGATTACAGGTTTGTAGGAATAAATATAAATTAGTTAAATTAATGTATTTTTCTTCTTTTGGGAATAATTTTTAAAAAATTCTAAGTAAATATATGAAGAAATGCTATAAAGTTTTTATCCCTGTAATTAGTAAATAATATTTGATTCTGCTTGCTTTTATTTATGGATCGGATTATTTATGGATTGTAAGATTTCTATTTAAATGATTTTGATTAGGATAAATAAAATATTTGTATAAATAGCATTTGAGAAAGTTGGAAATGGAATAAATTAAAAGTTATTTATGTTATTACTTGACTAATTCCATCAATTCTTTGTGAGATAATATTAAGAAAAATGTTGGGGTAGTTTGCTATCAGAACAACTTATAAATTTAAGTTAAGAAGTTAAAGAATCTCGAAAGAGTAGTTTATAAATTTAATTTAATGAAACGAATTTCAAAACTGTTTAATACTTCTTTTTAATTAAGACTGTTCAATATAGCTTATAATAGCTTAATGAAAAAATTTTTTTTCTGTTTTATATTGTTTTCTACATTAACATTTGTCGCTACCGTCATGGTAAGAGATTGTACTACACTTTCATAATTTCACATCATAATGTAATATGCTATTCTAATTTGATGTGAATTTTGTTGATATTATGAATTTTTTTTTTTTTTTTTGCAGAAATGTGGACGGCAAAAAATATTCTGACAGGTTTTCATCAACTTTCATTATTTAGAGTAAATGCGACGTTCTTTCATACAACATCCTTAACTAGATGGCAAAGTGAGTAAGTTCAATGAGTCCTTTCTTTAAAGTTTTTTCAAAGGGTTCTTTTTGCTTGTTTATTGACTTCATTTCACTTTAATGTTTTACTGTTTTCTCATCAACTTAGATTATATTGTAGCTTATCAAAATAAACCTTCATAAAGTATATAATAGCCTGTGGATTTCTTAATTATTGAAGAAGGAAGAAAGAGATAGACTGAGGACTGATTCGTTATTTCTTTTTATCTTTATTTTGAATGTCGTCTTTTATTTGCTTTATTTTTGTGAACACTATATTGCTAAATTTAGACTTCGAAAATGAAAGACATTTCGAACCTGGAGAAGATGTTTTGAAGCGGATGTGGTATGCTTTGAAGTATGATGTAAAACGATGGAAAAGGCGGTGGAAAGAAGTAATATTTTATATGGCATTGTTTTTCTTTTTTCTTATTGATTTAATTATTTTAAGTTGTTTTTCAGTTTATGTCACTAAAAGTGTAAACACATTTCTCGCAAGAACTAATGTTTCCCTTTTTTCAGCCATCGTCATAACAGAATTGTTTTTACTTTCCTTTGTAACTTCTTTACTTCAGTTTTTGTTGACATATTATTAAATCGTAACAGCTTCTTATATAGTCAGAAATGTGTTTGTAAGTTTCTATATTTGACAAATACATAAATTAGGCCAGAATGGATCCTTATCAGAGGAATAATGCGATTGCACACATCAAACGACACACAATGGATCTCGAGTTGTTCCCATTCGAAACTCAGGTAATTAGATGCTAATTATGGTTATTATTTGCATTGTCTTTAGAGCATCTGTTTTGCTTCCAGAAGTTGGATTATTTGAGAAGAAATTTGCTTTGATATTAATAGAAGTTAGTAGAAGCTGATGAATCTTATTCATACTTAAACATGTTTCTGCGATAAAGTTCTGAGTGTGGTTGATGTATTTAAATTTTAAAATGAATACACTTAAATTATTTTATTCGATGTTTACCGTGAAGGATAAAGCATTCATATGCACAAACCTAAATTGATATTTTTTAGGTATTAATCATTGGAGGTGGATTGATAGGATCCTCTGTTGCATACTGGTTAAAACAAGCGTTTCGTGACGAAGACTACAAAGTTACGGTTGTAGAGAATAACGATAAGGCAATAGTTTCAAACTTTTATTTTTTAATCTCACTGATTTGTTAGCTTTTTCAATATAATGTAAAAGCGAGCATTTTCCAGCAAAACAGGATATCATGATGAATAACTAGACTGATATAAGAAAACTAAAAGAAAAATCTTTCCTAAGTGTAATTTTATTTCAAACTGTAATGCAACTTAAATTTTAGAGTTTTCGAATACTATCTTCAAGCCATAACTGCGTTAAAATACATGATAAACAAACCGTGTTATTAGTCTCTTTGAAAATTAAAGAATATAAAAGTTGGAAATTCATTTCTTTACCAAGTTTTTCTACCTCTTTTAAATGTGATGTTTAATTGCAGTTTGCGCAGTGCGCTTCAATGTTAACATGTGGTGGTATCTCACAACAATTTTCAGTCCCTGAACATGTTACAATGTCAGCTTTTGCCGCTGAATATCTTCGTCATGCTGGCGAACATTTGCGTATTTTAGGTAAATTTACATTCTAGAATTCTAGAATTTCAGTTAGTTCCTTCGTAAAATTCCTATGAATAATTCTTCCATAAGCATAGTTAAATCATCGAATTATTTATTTGCCTTTTTTGCTATTGATATACTGAAATTAATTAGTGTTTTATAATTTATAATAAATGTTTTTAGACAACGATCCTCCTGATATAAATTTTTTACCGATGGGTTTCATGTATTTGGCTCGCACACCCGAAGAAGTGGATCGATTGAAGCGGAATTGGAAAGTGCAAACGTTGGTCTAATTGTTTAACTGGATTTAAATTATTGGAAATATTTTCATATCGACGACTGATCGGCTGAAATCAAAAGATTACTTAGTGGAACTTGAACTGTACCACTAAGTAAACTTCTGAATTAGATTCTTAGATTCACCCCATATTCATTTTGCATGCAGCATTCTTCTTGCCACTTTATCTTGCCTTAGAAATTTGAACTAACTATATTTAATGTATTTCATAATTTCTTGATACTACAAATATGGGATCAGATTTCAAAAATAATATAGCTGATTTGGTAGAATAGAACATAATCAGTCTACAACTCATGACATTATTTATTCATTTACATGTTAATAAAGTTTTAAGAGACTTTTGAAAAACTCATTATAGAGAAAAGTTCAACAAAAAAAGAAAAAAAAAATTGAGGAAAGTATTGATAAAATTATTTCGGTTAATTTTTAGACGAAATGGTGCCCGAATTGATTTGCTAAACCGTAATAAGTTATGTGCGAAATTCCCTTTTATCAATTTTGATGATGTATTACTCGGCTCATACGGTAAGTTTGCTTTTATTAGCTCATTCTGATATTGAGCATGATAGGAAATAAGTATAATATATGATATTTTATAGGTTTGGAAAATGAAGGTACAATCGATTCTTGGCAACTATTATCAGCTATACGGGAAAAGAATCTTACTTTGGGTGTGCAGTATCTTAAAGGGGAGGTGGAAGGTATGTAACAAATGCTTTTAGAACTTTCTAACTTTGCGTATATGTATAATGTATTTGGGAAGAAGCATTCGAGTCTTCATTATTCTAAATAGTGGTTATTTTTACAAAAATTTTAAATAGGAAATTGCCTTAATCTCCAAAAGAGACAGATTGCCATATTGTCCATTTTTAAGCCAACTAAAAACTGTTTGGTAATTGAGGGTACGCTATACTCAATAACAAATACTTTTTTTACTCCAGTAAAACTTGCAAATTCTCTCAAAGTTTTATCTTCTTAGTGATTGTAACAGACACTGTTTGAATTTTCAAGTAATTCCTTTATTGCATTTGCCTTTTCCTTTTCAAGTTAACAGAATACATGAAAAGTTAAGTGAGCGGCATCCTGCGTTATATTTTATTCTGTATCGTAAGATATCCAAATTGATTTTATAGCACTTATATTGCTAAATAGCTTCATATAGAATTAATATATTTTTGGTTTGCCTTCACTGATATAGTTTGGATAAGTTTTTTTTTTTAATATGAATATTTAATTTTTAGGTTTTTATTTTGGCCAAAGATATGGTGCTACAGAAATATATGGTATTGCAGATGATGCTGATGAAGCAGTATGGCGTAATAAGCATATCCGCGGAGCTTTTGTAGGCATATAGCTTTATTTTTCAAGTTTTTATTATATTTTATATATGTTCTTGCAGCAAAAAAAAAAATTTACATATATATTTATAGATTCGGCCGCAAATGACAGATGCTTCTGCAAGGATCGTACGATCTAATCATATTGTTGTTGCTGCTGGTGCTTGGTCTGGTCGTATTGCCGAAATGGCAAGAATTGGTGAGACATTTGTTTTACTCGTAAATGTAATATTTTTTTAATGCGAAGTTTTGAAGTTCAGTTAAGTGTGAAATTTGTAATTTAGAAGAAGAATTTTGAATTTTTTAGGGAAAGGACAAGATTTATTGGCTGTTAAGATACCGGTTGTTGCACGGAAGCGTATGATGTTTGTTGTACATGCACCTGATGTTCCTGCCTTAGATATGCCGGCTCTTGTCGATCCCAGTGGTGTTTATTGTTTGCTGGAAGAAGTTGGTAATACATTTATTTGTGGAAAAATCCCGAATAAGGTGAGAAATTTGAATGAATGGTGAAATGTATAGATTATTGTTCATCTTTTCCCTTTTTTTTGTATTTAGAAGTATAATTTTTGTAGGAAGAAGATGAAAAAATGGACCACTCAAATTTGGAAGTAGATTACAACTACTTTTATAATGATATTTGGCCAACTCTAGTGAAAAGAATTCCAGCATTTAGAAATTTAAAAGTAAGTTTTATCGAGAAACACGACAGTTTTTATATTAATGAACCCTAAGATCACTAGCACAGTTAATACAAAGCATCAGTGTGAAGCTGAATGAAATTCTGACTCTTTATTATCTCTAATATTGATTATCGTTTAATGAAGATAACTATCGAAATTTTAATCCTTATCTTACATTTTTTCTGTTTCAAAATAGAGGCAACTTTTTCTCGACAAAAAAAAAAAAAAAAAACGAGATATTCATTAATTATATTGCAATAATTAAGCTAAAATAAAATATTTTTTCTCTATTACAAACAGAAAATTATGCTTGAAATTTTCAGATTAAAAATGCTTGGGCAGGTTATGAAGATGTGAATACATTTGACAACTCACCTGTTATCGGAGAGCATTTACTTTATCAAAATTTACATTTCTTATGCGGGTTTGGGAATCGTGGAATGCAGCATTCCTTAGCTGTCGGACGAAGTTATGCTGAAAAATTGCTGGAAGGTGCATATGTATCATTAAATTTACGAAAATTTGATATGAGACGATTGGTTAAAATGGAAAAATTAGAGGAAGAGTATGGTTAATTGAAACTTTATTATGCTATGCAGCATCGTAGTTGTCATTCTACATTTTTGCCTTTATTTGTACTTTTAGTTTCTTTCTAGTTTTGTTGTTTTTTTTTTTTATTTTTTATTTTTTGATACTGACTGTTACAATTCCAAGCAAACTTGTTTGTTTGATATTTGCGTAAATTTTGCTATAGAAAATATTCATATAAAGTTGTGTTTCGTATGTTCTTAATTCTTCACGGGTGATTCCTTTATTTATTTAATGGTTTTTGTGATTTTTGTAGAAAATATTAGCAATGTATTATCAATAAATATTCTTCCAAGCGTACATCATCGATATTTATTCAGAACAGTGATACTTCTTAATTTATACCATTACTCAAATATTATTTACTCAAATACTTAATTTATACCATTACTCAAATAAATATTATGCAAATTTCTAAAATACTCAGAAATCAGTTTGTGCATACTGAGAAAATTTGATGTTTTCGGATTTGTTATATTTCAGTATTATCAGTTCTTATTTTACTTTTTTTTTAGGATCATAATTTATAAAAAATTCACATATTCATTGTGGATTAACGTGTAGCTTTCGATGTCTCTGTCTATTGAGCCGGAAAAAAAACGTATTCGATCGGATGATGGTGATCAAGTTGAGGAAGAAGAAAAGGAAGCTGTAAAAGAATTACCAAAAGGATGGGAGAAACGAATGAGTCGTTCAAATAGTTTGTTTAATATTACTTTTGAAAATTATGTTTTTTTTTTTTTTTTTTCATCAATTTATTCGTTTAAAATTGAGGAAATTAAAAGATTTTTCATTTTCAGATTTCTTTATTAAATTTATTTATGCAATTATTTTAGACCGATTTTATTATTTCAATGTATACACTGGTCGTAGTCAATGGGAACGTCCCACAAAACCAGCTGATCCAGCACAAGCAAGCTTAAATGAGGTATATTTTGAAAAGTTTTCTTTTTTTTTTTTCTTTTTCAGTAACTATTTAATGATATTCATATGAGAAATTTAAAAGAATAAGAAAGTGAAATTATGAATTTAAATAAATTTTTTGGATTATAGTTCTGTAGCATGATTCATTATCGAAAATTTATCAAATTAATTGATGCTTTTTGTATACATTTTATTGTCATTTTATAGTAAAATTTTATTTTAAAATAATCTCAAAATGTTTTTTTTTTTTTTAATTCATCAAAATGTATTTTCACTTAACTGAAGTGCAATATACATATATATGCTAATTATATTAATAGAAGTGATTTATAGGTACATTGCGCACATTTACTAGTAAAACATAGTGGTTCGAGGCGTCCTTCATCGTGGCGCTCAGATGTTATTACACGTTCAAAAGAAGATGCAAGGAAAATTTTGGCTGGTTCGATTCAATTTTTCTTTTTTTTTTTTTTTTCCCCTTCCAAAGGGAAGAAAAAAAATTAGCTATCTCTCATAATTCTTAGCTTAGCTGTATTCATACGTAAATTTAGCTTTTCGGATCGAATTATGTTTATGAGTTTTACATTTTGCAGGGAAATATTGGATGATGACAAAAGATGGATAAGAAATTAGACTAATTTTTCATCTATTATACGTTGTATTTGTTAATAATTATCATGTCTCATTTTTCTAATTTTTTAAAGAAAATTTTTTCCTTTAAAAAAATAAAGTTTTCTATTTATTTCTTGCAGGCTATAGAAAGCAAATTGAGGAGGCATCTGATAAAAAATCAAAATTGAGAGATTTAGCAAAGGAATTTAGCGATTGTTCGTCAGCAAAACGAGGTGGTGATTTGGGATTTTTTAAACGACGACAAATGCAGAAATCTTTTGAAGATGCCGCTTTTGCTCTTGGAGTAACTTTTTTAAAGAGATTTTAAAATTATCATCACTATAAATGGGTAGTATGTTTAGAATGTTAGCATGAGAGTTAGCATATTTTAGAACAAAGATAAGAAGGACTAAATTAATATGCTTAGTTTTTTTTTTTTTTTTTTTTTTTTCAAGAAAAATATTCGCAATTTCACCACTGATAGAAGAGGAAAATGTTCATAGCCAAAAAAATTTTTGTGATAAAACTGAAAGATTAAATTTTTAATGTGAATTCTCAAACAATCATATTTACATTATTATTATAATTTCATTTCATTTTTTCTTTTTCTTTTTTTTTTCAGGTTGGACAATTGAGCGATATAGTTGACACTGATTCTGGCTTACATCTTATTTATCGAATTGCGTGATAAGCGATATGTTTATCGCTTATCATTATCATTAATCTTCTCAACTTTTATAAATCTAAAGCTTTTTCTTTTTTTTTTTATGCGGGTTTTAACTTCGCACTGCAGTTTGCATGGTTTTTTTTTTTTGTACTCTTTTCATACAATTAATTGCTCTCTCCTTTCATTTCTTTCAGGTTTTTCCTGTTCTCTTTTTACTTTCCTGGAATTGCAAAGTGCAACAATGGTTATTATAAAAAAAAAAAAAAAAAATTTTATTTTGTTAGGAATGAAAATGAATGAAATTAAATGTGTATTTTTAAAACTGATTAAATTTATTAATCATAATGATTCATTGGTAATACTAGCGCTGATTTAATAAATGAAAACTTATTCTGGAATTGCTTCCATTTCAGTTAATCGATAATTGTTACAAAAATTTGATTGTTGTTGAATTTATCTATTCATTTATTTATTTATTCATATTTTTTTGCAATTTATATTAATAATGGATCATGATTAAGGAGAGAAAAAAAAAAAAACGGAAAAATGGATAGTTGCAGTTATTTTTTTGATAATATATAAATGAAATTTGAAATTAATGGATAAGAGAAGCCATGTATTAAGATTGATACTTCAATTGTTAGGAATTTAATATTTACAGTATTTTTTTTTTTTATTTTTTATTTTTTATTTTTATTTTTTTCACTATGCTACAAATACATTCATTAAAAAAACTGATAAAACTTTGAATAATCTGAGATGGTTGTATGAATTTTATTAGCAATTTTATCAATTATCATTTGTATTATTGGCTAAAGTGAAAGTGAAATAAATGATTTCAAATCAGTTTGATAATACTTTTAGTATACTTTTAAATAGCTGTCACAACAGTTGGTTATAATTTATTTTTTCTTAAACTAACTTTATGTAAACGAATAACTTTTTTTTTTTTTGTATTCAAAAAAAAAAAAAAAAAGTAAGAATTACAGTGAATGCAATGTATTTTAAAAGCATTTCAAATATTTTATTTTGCTAGAATGACTGTAATTTATTAAGTGAAAAGTTTTGAAATTGAAATTGAATCAAATTTCTACTTTAGTATAATTATTAATAATTGTGACTAAATAAATTTACAGTTAATTATATGATGTTATTAGCATTATGCTGAAGTTTTTTTTTTTTTTTTTTTTGATCATTTTTAAATTTTTGTTAATTGCTTGTTAATTATTTTTCATTTCATTTATTTTTTCGAGAATGCAGAAATTTGATTCAATTTCAATTTCATGTTAATTTCATTTTTTAAAACTTAATTTATAGTGATAAGCTGATGCTTTAATTTTCGCACTTTAATTTCTATTTTTTTTTGTATTATTTCTATTATTATTATTTGTCGTATTTACAAGTAATTGATGATTTAGGTGGTTGACATTATTTATAGGTGACAAAGAAATAATGCCAGTGCCACAATATCAAGGTATCTCTGGACATCCACAAATAACATGTTGGCAAAAGATGAAAATGGGCTTACTTATGGGAGTATTTATTGGTTGTGCATCAGGTGTTGTTATTGGTACTGCTAGTGCATTCAGGTTAGAATTTAAATTTGAATTTGAATTAATTGCTTAATGCCAAGCTAACTTCTTTTCTTATTACTTCATAAATTAATTACTTGCTTTTTTTTTTTTTTTTTTTAATTCATAATTTGAATGCGTACTTAAAGTATATTGTTGATGTTTATTGGAATAGTGTGATGAATTAATAAGTTTGTTGTTTGAAAAAAAAGTTAAATTTTTGTAACATCAAGATTTTTAAAATATTTTACTTATGCTTATAATAGTGATGATTTATGACTAAATTGAAAACATAAAATTAACTTTAAAAAAAAAAAAAGGTGTCAACTATAAGCATATCCATCTTAAAATATCGGTTTAACTTAGATTTTTATTATCAAATTAAATTGACTGATGATTGTAACTAACAATTAATCTTAAGTTTTTTATGTCAAAGTTTTTTTTATGTGAAAAAATTTATGTTTTTCTTTTTTTATCACAAGGAAATGATTTTATCAGTATTTTTTTAAGCATGGGTCTAAGAGGACGTGCAATGATAGCACAAGCTGGACGATATTCGACAAAAATGGGTAGTTCATTTGCGGTATTTATGATGATCGCACAAGGATTACGTTGCTAACAAAAATGCTTCTCTCTCTCTCTCTCTCTCTCTCTCCCTCTCTCTCTCTCCTTTCTCTTATCACAAAAACACTATCAGTGATAAATGTTAGCAATTAGTGAAGAATTTCTATTGTTTTAAAATGATTTATTTTATATTTGTTTATGTATTACTAGGATTTGATTATTATCATTTAATAATGTTATTATTATCATTTAATAAATTTAATAAATCATTTAATAATTCATAATTTACTTTTTACTAATTTCTATCATACTTTATTATTTATTACTTACTTTATTATTTATTACTATTACTAGTATGAATGATAAATTTTGTTTTTTTTTTTTTTTTTTTTCTGCCTCAAAAAAGTAAAATAAGTTTATGATTCTTTTGAAACAAACATTCTGCAATTTTAAAAGTTTTAGTACATCTTTGATATTCTTTTGGAACAAATTTTTTTTTTTTTTTTTTTTTTTTTGCATAATTCTATTGCTTAGATTGTAAATTTTTGTTTTTTTGTTTTTTTTTATTAACTTTTATGTTAAATAATGAAGATTTTTTTTTTTTAATGCAAGAAAAATTTATTCTTTCACTATTCATTTTATAAATATTTCAGTTTTACATTAAATTTCATTAGACGACAAGCAATTTTGGTTACGTTAATTGTGAGAAGATAAGTTCATGATTTATGATTAATTTAATAATGTTTATGGTAAAAAAAATTTTGAACAAACTAAAATACTTCTCATTAGGTTACTTTTATCAAATGATTTACCTTAAAGTTTTATAAGTTTTTAAAGTTTTATACTTTTTTTTTTTTTTTTTTTCCAATCAAATTATCTAAAAGATTTTTATTATTATTTTCACTTCCTGTGATAATATATTTTTTTCACTACTATTACTTTTAGCAAATGATTTACCTTAAAGTTTTATAAGTTTTTAAAGTTTTATACTTTTTTTTTTTTTTCCAATCAAATTATCTAAAAGATTTTTATTATTTTCACTTCCTGTGATAATATATTTTTTTCACTACTATTTTGAACTTTTGCTAAATAAGAAATGAAAAATGAAAAGTTTTTTGTTTTTGTTTTTTTGTTTTTTTTTTTCCACCTTATTATTAATTGAGTAATAAAGCAAAATTAGAAACGAGCATCATAATGAAATTTTTAATATTTTCAAAAAAAAAAAAAACTCACAATTTCAACTAAATTTATTTGAGCAATTGATATTTCTCTTAAGCAATTACTAAATTTAAAGATTTTTTTTTTTTTTTTTTTTTGTTCATTATTCTTATTTACATTTTAATTTTCAACATGTCGCAATTATTTAAATTAATTGAAATTGAAAAAAATTTTTTAGAAATATATGGATGGAAGTACTGCTGCATTTGTATGAAAATTGATGATTGTTAAGAAAATAAGAAGGTGAACTTTCAATGTTAAATTCGAAATTTAAAAGGATTGAAATTAAATTCGAATTTAAAAGTAATAAGGAATAAACACCAGATGTGATGTAGATTTTACCAAACAAAAAGGAAAATATTTGATGTTATATTTCAATAAACAAACAAAAAAAATATGACAATAATATCTGAATAAATAATAATGAAAATTTATTAAAATACTAGAAATATGAACTATACTAATTAAATTTAAAAAAATAAACTAATGAAAATTTAATTAATATTTTGAAATACATTGCAAATAATACGACTTTTTTTTTTTTTTTTTTTTTTTTACAAAAAATGAATAAAATATAAGAAAAAGAAAAAAAAAAAATGAAACGAAAGAATAATGTTAGAAATTTTCTTACAAAATTAGTTTATTTGAGAAATAATATCATTATAGTTTTATTATTGCTAAGATTAATTGATAAATTAAAAATTAATTTTCATTTTTAGCTAAAATTATTGAAGTTTTTTTTTTTTTTTTTTTTTTTAAATTGTATCTAAAATAAGTCTCTTCGTAATTTATATTATTTAACAATTTCAATTTTTTTTTTTTTTTTTTTTATCATATTGAATTATCAAAAATGATTGTTCAATTTATAATCAAAATTGGATTACTTATTTGATAAAATATGTCAAACTTTTGAAATTTCTAACAAATTTGACAAATTAAAAAAGAAAAAAAAACAAAAAAAAAAAGCACTAACAAATATATAAATGACAAATGTGAAACAAAAATTTTTTGAAATTTTTTTAACTATAAATAGATCCATTTTAGAATTTAATTTGAAATTGAAAAGTTTTTAAAATATATATTTGTACTTTTTTTTTGAAGACTATATTAAGAGTTAGTAAGAAAAAAAAAGAAATTATAATTTTGAATAAAATCCAAAAGAAAAAAAAAAAAAGAAAAAAAAAATGAGATTTAGAATATTTAATATCCTACAGCTACTCTTGGTAGTGGACAATGGTCACACTGTCCGATTGATCCTTGTGGTCCTCGAATACCTGGTTCACCTGTTGCTCCAGCTAGACCAGGAGCTCCATCACAACCTGGATTTCCGGGTGGTCCTTCTGCTCCATTCCTACCTGGTAAACCATTTTTACCAGGATTACCTGGTGCACCTTGCTCTCCTCTAGGACCAGGATATCCTTGTGGTCCGTTCGGTACAGCTACTTCGACCACTTTTCCGGGAAGTCCACAAGGTCCAGGAAGACCTGGTTTACCAGGTGAACCTGGTGGTCCCATCGGTCCTTGTCTACCAGGTTGCCCAGGTAAACCTGGATATCCATCACGGCCTGGCAAACCTGGCTTACCAGCTAGTCCTTTCCGACCTGGTTCTCCCGGAGGACCAGGTTCACTTTTTTCACACTCAAAACAGAAAACAATGCGTTCTGGTTGTTTCGGCGGCGGTGCATCCAGTCCATTCCTGCCTGGTTGTCCGGGCAATCCGTCCGGACCGCTCTGTCCATCCGGACCAGGTAAACCTCTAGGTCCTACTGGTGACACACCGCATCCACAGCATACACTTCGCTTTGTTGATGACATTTGTTGATTCAAATACGAATAATTGGGTATGGTACCAACAAAACTAGCCAATCTTTTATGTCTTTGACCTCCAACTAAAATCTGCAAATAAAAATTTTTTTTTTTTTAAAAATAAAAATAAAAATTCAAAAAAAAAAACTAAAAATTTAAAAAAAAAAAATGAAAAATTTTTTTCAAAATTTAATCAAAATTTGATAGTCTTAGCATGCATTTTAATTCATTAATCGATCATTAATTAAAATTTATATTAATGCAAAATATTTTATAATTGTTATCTATTAATTTATAAATTACAAAAATTTTAAAATAATAAAAAAAAAATTAATGATCAATTTTTTTAATTTTATTCTTAAACAGATTACTTTTAATTAATTTAAGATTAATTATGGCATAAAAAATTTCAACAAAATTCAAATAAAAATTTGCAAATTTCTCAAATAATATAAAAGAAAATTTTCACCAAAGTAAATATAAAATTTGAAATAAATAATCAAAAATGAAATATTTTCTATTAAACTTGAAATAAATAATCAAAATGAAATATTTACTATCTTTTAATATTTTCTATCTTTTATGTTCAATTCTTATTTTTTTCATTCCTTTTTTTGGTTTTGTTTTTGTTTTGTTTTTTGTTTTTTCATTTAATTTAAAAACAGTCAAAAATTATTTTATTTTTAATTAAAAATTCATTTTTTTTTTTTGTCAAAAATTTATTTAAATTCAAAAAATTCATTTCATTTAATTATTTGTTGATCACTATACTTTAAATACACTTCAAATTTCTAATCTTTTAGTATGCAATTCATTAATTTAAGAAAAGTTAGATATTAAATTTAAGTAAAATTAAAAAAAAAATTACAAACTTGTGTTTTTAATATTTCTTTCCAAATATTTTGACTTCGTTGCTTGCAAAAATCAACTTCATTTTGCATGCTTGAATGCATGTATTGCAAGTAATTATAGAATAATGGTATTGAAAATATGCAAATTAATGTTGCAATTACGGCTAAAATTACCGCAAACAGTACTGCACGTCGTAAATTTATTAATTGTTGTTGTTGTTGTTGTTGAAATATTATTTTAATCGAATTAAATTCATCCATTATTGCTAAAAAAAAATTTTTTTTTACAATTTTGAAATTTAATTTTATTTACAAATAAATTGATAAAAAAAAAAATTAAAAATTATTGATAAAAATATTTTTAGATTAGTTATCAAATTGATAATAATATATATATATATATATATATATATATATATGTAATAAAAATATTCCATAAATTATTTTGATGATATTATTATTATTATTATTAGTAGTACTATTGCTATTATTATTATTATTATTATTAGTACTATTGTTATTATTATTATTATTATTAGTAGTAATAGTACTATTGTTATTAGTATTATTATTATTACTATTGTCACTATTATTATTATTATTAGTACTATTGTTATTAGTACTATTATTATTATTATTATTATTATTATTATTATTATTATTATTATTATTATTATTATTATTATTATTATTATTATTATTATTAGTAGTAGTAGTAGTAGTAGTAGTAGTAGTAGTAATACTATTGTTATTATTATTATTAGTAGTAGTAGTACTATTGTTATTATTATTATTGCTATTGTCATTATTATTATTATTATTATTATTAGTAGTAGTAGTACTATTATTATTATTATTATTATTATTAGTACTATTGTTATTATTATTATTATTATTATTAGTAGTAGTACTATTGTTATTAGTATTATTATTATTACTATTGTCACTATTATTATTATTATTATTATTATTAGTACTATTATTATTATTAGTAGTAGTAGTAGTAATACTATTGTTATTATTATTATTATTATTATTATTATTATTAGTAGTAGTACTATTGTTATTGTTATTATATTATTATTATTATAATAATTTTGCTATAATTTTCATTCACTCATTAATAGTAAACAAAACACATATTACAATAATTTTTCATTTCAAAATTAAAACGTTTACTTAACAAATAATTTAAAAAAAAAAAAAAAAACATTTTCAATTTTTACTTTTTGCATTTTTATTTTTTAAAAAAAAATTTTTTTGTTTTTTCTTAAAATTATCCATTCTGAATGAAAAGAAAAAAAGAAAATGAAAGAAACAATTTAATAGGAACAATGAAAATTTGTTGTTTAAAATTTTTCAAATGTTTTTTTTTTTTAAAAAAAATAAATAAATGAATGTACAAAGTAATATTTATTCGATTAATTGTTTTTTTTTTTTTTTTTTAGAAATTTAATTTTTTTTAAATTTGACAACAAATTTATCAACAAAATATTTTTTGTCTGTTTGTTGATGATATAATCAGTAAATAATTTATCAATTATCATACAGCTTATTAATGAACATAATACCTGTTCAATGGTTTTCTTTTTTTTTTTTTTTTTTAATTTTTAATTTTTCATTGAAATCTTTTTTTTTTTTTTTGTTTTAAACAAATTTAATTAAATGAAAAAAATTTTTTTGTTATTTATGAGAGTGGCAGTTTTTTTAAATGATTAAAAAAATTTCATAAAAAACATAAACAAAACAATAATGTTTTTTTTTTTTCTTGGCTATTTACTTTCTGTTTTTTTTTTTTTTTTCAAAGAGTAAAATAAATAGCCAAGAAAAGAAATATTTTAAATTCATTATTTTAATTTTAATTTTTGAGGACTATTTGATGGATTATACCAAATAATATAACTTAAAATTTGATTCTTTGAAGACACTCAAAACAGAATTTTTTCGATTATTAAATTTTATGTATTAAAAAGTATTATTAAAGTTTAAATTAAATTAAATAGACTAAAATATATGTATATTCTAATTCAAAATTCACTGAAATTAAAGTATCTGAAAACTTCAATGTGAATTTATATATTTAAATTAATTTTATTAATAACAAAATGTTATAAAATTTTAAATCTTAAAATTAAATAAAATAAATTGGGAAAAATTCATTTTAACAATTTATATACTTAAATTAATTTTATTAATAACATAAAATATTATAAAATTTTAAATCTTAAAATTAAATAAAATAAATTGGGAAAAATTCATTTTAACAATTTATATACTTAAATTAATTTTACTGATAACTTAAAATAATATTATAAAATTTTAAATCTTAAAATTAAATAAAATAAATTGGGAAAAATTCATTTTAACAATGATTTATATTCAAATTCCCAAAATTCACTGAAATTAAAGTATCTGAAAACTTCAATATGAATTTATATATTTAAATTAATTTTATTAATAACAAAATGTTATAAAATTTTAAATCTTTAAATTAAATAAAATAAATTGGGAAAAATTCATTTTAACAATAATTTATATTCCAATTTCCAAAATTCACTGAAATAAAAGTATCTGAAAACTTCAATATGAATTTATATACTTAAATTAATTTTACTGATAACTTAAAATAATACTATAAAATTTTAAATCTTAAAATTAAATAAAATAAATTGGGAAAAATTCATTTTAACAATTTTTATACTTAAATTAATTTTATTAATAACATAAAATATTATAAAATTTTAAATCTTAAAATTAAATAAAATAAATTGGGAAAAATTCATTTTAACAATAATTTATATTCCAATTTCCAAAATTCACTGAAATTAAAGTATCTGAAAACTTCAATATGAATTTATATATTTAAATTAATTTTATTAATAACATAAAATATTATAAAATTTTAAATCTTAAAATTAAATAAAATAAATTGGGAAAAATTCATTTTAACAATAATTTATATTCCAATTTCCAAAATTCACTGAAATAAAAGTATCTGAAAACTTCAATATGAATTTATATATTTAAATTAATTTTATTAATAACAAAATGTTATAAAATTTTAAATCTTAAAATTAAATAAAATAAATTGGGAAAAATTCATTTTAACAATTTATATACTTAAATTAATTTTACTGATAATATTAGCATCAAATAATATTATCATAAACTAAAATTCAACAAAAAAAAAAAAAAAAAAAAAAAAAGTTGGAATTTTAGAATTAATTTGAAATTTTTTTTTGTTTAATTTTTTAAAGCAATTTGGATTTTTTTTTTTTTTTTATAATTTTACTTAACAAAATAATGTATCAAAAATTTTAAAATTATTCAAAAATTTTTCCTAAACAATAAATATTATCATTTTTTAAATAATTTCCTATGATAAGAATGTAACTAACTTTTTTTTTTTTGATATTGATATCATATTTATATCAGAGAAATGTGTTATTGTGATAGTATCAAAGTGTAGTGATAAGCTATTTGTAGTGATAAGTGATAAGCTCATTGAATTAAAAGTCAATAACTTATTTAAATTTATAGAAAAAATTTTTGTTTTTTTTTTTAAAAAAAGGAATAATTAATTTGAACTATTTTGGATAGCTACACTGATATTGTCAAAGTGTAGTGATAAGCTATTTGTAGTGATAAGTGATAAGCTCATTGAAATAAAAGTCAATGACTTACTTAAATTTATAAAAAAAAAAACATTATTTTCAAAACAAAGAATAAATTATTTGAATTATTTTGGCTAGCTACACCGATATTGTCAAAGTGTAGTGATAAGCTATTGGTAGTGATAAGTGATAAGCTAATTAAACTAAAAGTCAATGACTTACTTAAACTTATAGAAAAAAATCTTTTTTTAAAAAAAAAAAGAATAATTAATGTAAGCTGTTTTGGATAGCTACACTGATATTGTCAAAGTGTAGTGATAAGCTATTAGTAGTGATAAGTGATAAGCTCATTGAATTAAAAGTCAATAACTTATTTAAATTTATAGAAAAAATTTTTGTTTTTTTTTTGTTTTTTTAAAAAGGAATAATTAATTTAAACTATTTTGGATAGCTACACTGATATTATCAAAGTATAGTGATAAGCTATTAAGTAGTGATAAGTGATAAGCTAATTAAACTAAAAGTCAATGACTTACTTAAATTTATAGAAAGAAATCTTTTTTTTTTTTTTTTAAAAAAAGGAATAATTAATTTAAACTATTTTGGTTGCATGTGCAAAATAAATTTTAATGTAAATAATTCACTAAATTTAAAATTTAAATCATTTTTATTATCATTCTAAAACTATTTTACAAAAAATAATTTTAGCTAAAAAAAAAAAAAAAAAAATTTTTTTTATTTTTTTAAATTTTATTATTTAATAGTTTAACAAAAAGGAAAAGAGAAAAAAATCTTAGAAAAAAAAAAAGAAAAAAGAAACGTATTGCTGTTTAAATAAAAAATAAAACTAAATAAATGAATGAATTTTTTTTTTTTTTTTTTTTAAATAAAATTTTTAAATAATTTAGAGAATAAATAAATTAATATTTAAATGAATATTATGAAAAAAAAAATTTTTTTTTTTTATCAATTATTCAATACAAAAATTTCAATTTTTTTTTTTTGTAAAAAAAAAATAAAAAATTCTCGAAAAGATAAGAAAAGAAAAAAGTGTGAAAATATTTTTAAACAAGAATTATAAAAATAAATGATCATATTTAAATACGCATATCATCAAGAATTTATCTAATTTTTTTTTTCTTTTCAAATTGATTAATTAAATTAATTAAAAAAGAAATTAATTAATTAGATAAATGTACGGGTAAATACCTTAATGCCTAACTTTAAAATTAGTATTACCTAACAATGAGAAAAATGATTTTGAAAAAGAATTTTTTCAAATCGATTAATTAAATTAATTAAAAAAGAAATTAATTAATTAGATAAATGTACGGGTAAATACCTTAATGCCTAACTTTAAAATTAGTATTACCTAACAATGAGAAAAATGATTTTGAAAAAGAATTTTTTCAAATTGATTAATTAAATTAATTAAAAAGGAAATTAATTAATTAGATAAATGTACGGGTAAATACCTCAATGCCTACCTTTAAAATTAGTATTACCTAACAATGAGAAAAATGATTTTGAAAAAGAATTTTTTCTTTTGATAAAAAAAAAAAAATTGATGGGAATATAATCAGGAAAAATTTATGGGTAAAAAAATTATTTATTGTTTATATAATTAAATTACCAGTGATAAATTTG